GGATGGGTTCCAGGAGAGAAATTACAGAGCTGAAAAAAGAGCTTGAATCATCAGGGTTTGAGTAGTAGTTAAGCCTCTGAAGATGAACGAACCTGGCCTGGGAAAACAAATAGAGAAAGAGCAGGGGTTCAAGGGCAGCTCCCTGGAGAATGCCAGCGCTTACAGAAAGTGCAGCCGGCGCGGCGGAAACCTAGACAGTCTTGAGCTCGAAGCCAGGGAAGCCTTGGCTGATAATCGCAGAGGCCTCGGGATGGGAGATGAGTGAAAGTAGACCTTTCTCAGGTTGACAGTTAGGAGGCCACGGAGGGCTGCGGCAGGAGTGAACTCAGCATAAAAACAAGGTAGGGATGGGGTGGTGGACCGGAGAGGGCTGAGGGGCACGTGAGCATGTAGCACGGGTGAAAGTTTGACGACTGGAGGTCGAGATGGAGATGCAGGGGTAGCTGGAGGAGGAGATAGAGGCAGAGGGTTTGTTTCTTCTTTTAACTTTTATTTTGCTGTGATGGGGAGATCCTCATTGCTGCTGGTTTGCGGAGAGCGGGGGCTACTCGAGTTGTGCTGTGTGGGCTTCTCATTACAGGGGTTTCTCTTGCTGTGGATCACGGGCTTTGGGGCATGCAGGCTTCAGTAGCTGTGGCACTTGCGGCTGAGTACTTGCCGCTCCTGGGCCCTCGGTCACAGGCTCAGTAGTTTTGGCGCGTGGGCTTAGTAGCTCCGTGGCATATGGGATCTTCCTGGATCAGGGATCCAACCCGAGTCTCCTGCATTGGCAGGTGGATTCTTGACCACTGATGCACCACGGAAGCCCAGAGAGGGTTTTGTTTGTGTTTTAAGTACAGGGAGAGTTGAATCTAAGTCAAAGGGAGTGGAGGAAGGGGAGAGGTGAAAGCAGCAAGGTAGGGGCATCAATCACTGGTTGGAAACAATGCTGGAAGGGTGGGCGGGGACCGGTGTCCCCGTCGTGGAGGGGGCAGGAGGGAGCAGGACTGGCAGGTGAGTGTGGAGGTGGCAGGTGGGCAGCCCCGGATTTCCACCCAGAACTGAGGGACATGGACAGAGATCGTGTGACTCGCTCAGGGTTTCTGAACCAGTAAGATCACAGTCTGTGCTTCTGCCCCACTGGTTTTCCCATCCCCCTTCTCAGGAACATTAAGCCACAGCCCTCTGATGGGCCCAGGGGCTTGGAGGGACCTGGCATCAGGCCGCGTCCACGGGTGACGCCCTGTCCTGTTCCTTGTGGTACAGCGGGTGCCTGCTGAATACTTGCGGAGCGTGTGAGGCTGCCAGGCTCCCAGGGCTGCAGAAGGCCTCAGTCCTTCCCCCTCGTCCCCCAGTTCTGCCCTTCGGCAGTCCGAGGCAGGGCTCAGCATCTCTGCAGGCAGGGACACCATGGCTCTCAGCAGAACACTGGGAGGGCACACGGTGTTCCTGCCTTGGGGTTGGCTTTACCCGACTGAGCTGGACCTCCTGGGCAGCTGGTGGCAGGCAGAGGTTGCCACACTTTGGACATGAGTGGATCAGATTTCTGTTCCCCTGCTCAGGTACCCTTCTGTGACTTTCCTCATGGCCTTTCGTCCCCAGGGGCTGTCAGGGATGGGGGACAGCTGCTGGGAGAAGGCTCTGAGTGGTCTTGAGGCAGCAGCCAGCCCAAGAAGCCCGTCTTCCTAGAATCCTAGAGGGGCTGAGCCTTCTCGTGGCTTGGCCAGCCATGGGAAGTCATGGGCAGATGGCATCCCTGGCTGGTTTCTTGGAGCAAACCCCAAGACTAGCCAGTCTACCTAGCATAAATTTAGGAAGAAAATATAGAACTGTACTGGGCAGGAGGCTCAAAAAAGAGCAATTGTTTTGTTCCTGGAGACCCGTCATCTCCGACCAGCAAAGGTCTGCTCCATCGAGGACCTCTGAGACCTTTGACTTTTCAGTGACCGTGGAACACACTCTCTATAGTGTTCTCCATCTTGGCTGCGTGTTCAAATCACAAGAGAGGCAAGGTTTTTTGTTTGTTTGATTTTTTGCTGGCCAGTGCCTTGGCCCCATCCCTCAACCAATTAAATAAGACTCTTGGAAAGTGGGGCCCAGATATCAGTAAATGCTTTAACTTCTCAGGTAACTGCCCTGTGTATCCAGTGCTGTGACCTCCCAATAAAGGGAGCCGGAGTGCGATGTGCTGATTTGTGATCAGAAAGGAAGATTGAGGGCTCAGAGGGTGGAAGAAGGTGCGGTTCACAGTGTAAAGAAATGGGCGAGCCTGAAGGATCTGGTTTCAAGTTTTGCAGCTCAAAGCGTGGTCCCAGTCTAGCAGCAAGCACCACTTGGGACCTGGTTAGAATGCAGACTCACAAAACCCACTGAGTCAGAATGTGCATATTGAAGATTGAGAAGCGTGCTTCTGCCATTATCTGGACCAGTGGTTCTCAACTGTTGACTGGGTTAGAATCGCCCCGGGTGCTTGAACAAATTCCAGTGCTAGACCAGACTAGTTCTGTCAGAATTCCCAGGTAGGGAACTCCAGATACTGCAATTCTCCTGTTCAACCAAGTTCAAGGACATCCATCTTGACAAGCGCTTGACAAGTGCTTCTCAAACTTGACTGTGCGTGTGAATCAGCAGGAGGTCTTTTGCAAATGTAGGCTCTGATTTGTGCATCTGGGTGAGACCTGAGATTGTGTGTGTTAGTCACTTAGTCATGTACGACTCTTGGTGACCCCCATGGACTGTAGCCCACAAGGCTCCTCTGTCCATAGGATTCTCTAGGCAAGAATACTGGAGTGGGTAGCCATTTCCTTCTACAAGGGATCTTCCTGACCCAGGGTTGGAACCTGGGTCTCCTGCATTCTCCTGCATTACAGGCAGATTCTTTACCATCTGAACTATTCTGACCTGAGATTATTTATTTCTAATAAGGTCCCTGGTGAGGCTCAGACTGTGGATCTGATAAATATTGATATAGTAGAATCACAAGTGTTTGTTAGACCAACTTCCCCATTTTACAGCTGAAGAAACCAAGGGTCAGAAAGGGAACAGTGACTCCCCCAAGATAACCCGACGTGTTCATTCAATACTTTCTGAGCACTATGTGCTGGATGCTGAGGCTTGAGCTGGGGATAAGACAGACCTGATTCTTCCCCTCTCAGGGCTTATCTGCAGTGGGGGAGACAGACAGAGAGCAAGTAATTAAATGAATTTCAGATCGGGAGAAGCATATGAAAGGGATGATGTGGTCGGGAATGACTTGGCAGTTGGCTTTGGGTGGATCGGAAGGCGGGACACCCTTGGAAAAGCAGTAAGTCTTGACTTCCACTGGGGTCTGCTGATTACAACTCTAAAACTTTTCCTTCCTGGACAGAGCCATCCTCCAACCGCCCTGGGATTCAGAGATGGGCCCTCCTGACCCTACTGAGAACATCTGACTCTGGTCCACACCCCCCTCTTCCCCTATCCGCTTTCCCTTCCCCTCGACATTCTCATTGCCCGTTTGTGGATTCAGGGTGGAGCCTGGGGAGTGCCCCCCTCCCCCGCTCAGAGCAGAGCATCGACTTCTTCATAGAACAGTGTTCAGGATAATCGATTTATGGTTTCTAACAAGAACCAGATCTCGTCCCGATGCGGGCCCCCACCATTGAGAAATCATCTGAGATTTTTTGTTTATCTGCAAGAGAGCACAATCATGAGGGCGTCCTTTCCTTTCCTGAGCTGCCAGAAGAATCAGTCGGGCTGCTTGTGGAAATGCCTGTCCCAGGTCCCACCCCAGCTGGCTGAAGCAATCTCAGGAAAAGGCCCTGGAATCTGTGTTTTTAGTATGTGGCTCTCGTGATTCTTATGAACCAGATCACCGGGGGAAGTGAAAGTGGCATGGAGAGAAGAAGCTGGTGCCCTGTGTCCCATATCTCTTCGTGTGGCTCTTTGAGCTGCAGAAATGAATTCCTGGTGATTCAGAAGCATGGCCCTTGGCTGGATGTGTGATCGGAGGGATGTCTGTGTGCATGTAGCAACGCACAACGCTCCGTCCTCACCTTGCCAGCCTCTGCCCTTACCTGAAAGGGTCTCCTGTCTCCTCTGTGACCAACCAGACCCTTCCCACTGCCCGTGTGTGTGCATGCTCAGTCACTTCAGTCGTGTTCTACTCTTTGTGACCCCATGGACTATAGCCCTCCAGGCTCCTCTGTCCGTGGGGATTTCTCCAGGCAAGAATTCTGGAGTGGGTTGCCATGCCCTCCTCCAGGGAATCTTCCTGACCCAAGGATCGAACCCGCGTCTCCTACATCTCTTGCATTGCAGGCAGATTTTTTTAGTGCTGAGCTACGGAGGAAGCCCCTCCTGCTCCCCATGCTCCCATTAAAACAGTCCCCTCCACTGCCCTCCCCAGCGCACCTGGGCAGTGAGGACTTGGACACCGTGTGCACTCAGCCAGAGTCTAAAAGGGCTGCAGGAGGCTTCCTGGACCATCTGGTGGCCCCCACCCTCACCCCAGGGTGTGGCCCCAGGGGACCTATTCGGGTGGAGTAGCGGGAGCTTGGTGATGGAGGGGTGGGTGGTGGCCAGCACCAAAGGAATACCTTGAATGTGCAGAAGAGATAAACTTCACTTCACTTGTGCAAATGTGAATCACACCCTTGTACTTTTGAGCTTAACTTTCATGTAGAAAATGGGTGGATGTACATCTGTTTCCTGGAGCTGACCCTTCTGAGGTCAAACTGAGGGAGAGGACAGTGAGGGGAGCCGCGCCTGGGAAGCTGGGGTGGGCCGGTCTGGCCTGGGATGGAATCCGTGAGCTGTGGGACGTGGTTTCCCTTTCTGGGGCATAGGACCCCTCTGGACCCCTGAGGTCACCTTGAGGGGTTAGGGAGACATCCAGAGTGAGGAGGGCTGCTCCCTGGATGGCCCTGCAGCTGTGTGCTTCCTGGAGGCGGGAAGAGGCAGGCGGTGGGTGTACCCTGGTCCAGTGCCGAGGCCAGAGCATCCACGATGCTGACCGCACGCCTGTGACTCCTGCCTCCTAGGTGGCCCGAGGCAGCCGGGATGACAACTCTCCCCAGGAACCCTGGCACCTGAGAAACATGATCAGCAAGTCCCGTGAGTGTTCGCCAAGAACTCCCCTACCCTCGGCGATGGGCTCCCCGGAGGCAGTCTTCAGCATCTTCCTTCGACCCTCCGGGGGTTGTAGAAGGACAGATATGGAGCTGGGGGTACCTCTCTTCCTCTTGAAGGATGGCAGACATGCTCAGGTCCAAGCCCCGAGCCAGAAAACTATGGCCCAGCAGGGGCCTGCTCTGAGCTGGGGTTGCAGGAGCCCCAGGCGGGGCAGGTGGGGCAGGTGGGAAGGTGGCCTGGGGCCATGCCTGCCTGTTCCTGCGTCCAGCTCGTGTGTACATTCACCCCGCAGGCTGGAAGCTCCTGGCCATGCTGGCTCTGTTCCTGGCTGTCATGGTGTGGTACTCTATCTCTCGAGAGGACAGGTACATTGAACTGTGAGTCCATCTTTCATGTTCTTCTGTGGGTTTTTTGTTTTGTTTTGTTTTTTAGGAAGGGGGCTCAGGGATGGAGTGTCATGGAGTGGGGACCTAGTGATAGGGAGGAGGGTTCAGAGAGCCAGGGGGTGGCCTCTCCCTTACACTATTAGCTCAGAATCTTTCTGTGAGCATGGTTGGGAGGGTTGGGGGAGGTAAGGTCTGGGATGGGTCCCCAGGTATCTCACCCAAGGGGTTTAGGAGAAGAGCTGGGTTTGCAGTGACTTGGTTTCAAGGTGCAACTTGGGCTGAGATGATTCCAGCCTGTGAGTCACTCTTCAGGGCCTTGGAGCCTTCATGCCCTGGGAGGAGGCGGGGGCTGCCTGGAACGCTGGCACCTGGGCCTGGGAGGTCTGACCAGAGCTCCTATTTCCTCTTCTTTTCTGTCGCCAGCTTTTATTTTCCTGTCCCAGGGAAGAAAGAACCATGCCTCCAGGGTGAGGCGGAGAAGATGGTCTCCAAGCTCTTTGGCAAGTAAGTGTGTGAGGGTGGGGGGTGGGCTGAGGACAGCCAGAAGGAGGAAACCGTGCTGGAGGACGTGGGTCAGGTGAAGCCAGTGAGGGTGGGGGAGTCCTTGGATGTGTCTATGTGATATTAGTCTGCGGTCTGACCCTGTTTCTGGCATCAAGATTAATCGCTTTCTCACCCCCACCCTGCCTTCACCTCTGCGCAGCTACTCCCGAGAACAGCCTTTCTTCCTGCAGCTTAAAGATTATTTCTGGGTCAAGACCCCATCTCTCTATGAGCTGCCCTACGGGACCAAGGGGAGTGGTAAGTGCCTGCCTTGGGGAGCGGGGTGGGTGGGAATGGGGGCCTCACCTTCTCGTTCTTTGCCATCCACGGTCCCAGCGCCCAAGTTCTCAGCCAGGCTCAGACCCTGGGGTCAGGGGAGGAAGGGCTGGCAGCCTTCAGAGAGGTTGCTGTTGTCATCAGCCCTGTCGAATCTGGTCCTTTTGCAGAAGATCTGCTCCTCCGGGTGCTAGCCATCACCAGCTACTCCATCCCAGAGAGCATCCAGAGGTAAGGAGACACGCCTTCCTGCCTCACTGGGAAACAGTCATGGTCCAGCACCTCCCAGTGAGCCTGCCTGTCTCCAGGGAGGTGGGGACACCAGTCCCCATGGCAACCGAGCCTGGGTATCGGGCTGCCAGAGTGGGCAGAGGTTGCTGAGGGTATTGCTGTGGTAACAGGCCGGCCTGGGGGGCAGTCGGGGACTCTGAAATGGGATTGCTTTGCAGTCCTTCCCAGGCATCTTCCCTCCTCTCCTTCTCTCTCTCCTGTGCTCTGCTCAGCTTCCTCTCCCTTGAAAGCCCAGGGCTGCAGTCAGCATGACCAGGAGCAGAACTCTTTGGAGATGCCTGGTCCATGTAGGGGGCTTCCCAGGTGGTGCTAGTGGTAAAGACCCTGCCTGCTGATGCAGGAGACTTAAGAGACACGGATTCCATCCCTGGATTGGGAAGATCCCCTGGAGGAGGGCATGGTCACCCACTCCAATACTCTTGCCTGGAGAATCCCATGGACGGAGGAGCCTGGTGGGCTACAGTCCATGGGCTCGCACAGAGTCGGACACAACTGAAGTGACTTGGTGTGCACATGGTCCATGGGAAGCAGGGCCTGAGGGGGCTTGGGGCAGACGGAGGCAGGAGAGTGCGGTGAAGCCGGAGCAGGGGCTCCTTCCGGTTCTCACCACCCTGTTCCCGTGGCAGCCTGAAGTGCCGCCGCTGCGTGGTGGTGGGGAACGGGCATCGGCTGCGCAACAGCTCTCTGGGAGAGGCCATCAACAAGTACGACGTGGTCATCAGGTCCGTATGGCCACCCTTCCCTCTTCTGTCTGGGGGGCGACGGTGGACAGACCAGCGGGGCTCAGGGTGACGGGCAGCCTCCTTCCTGCCTCCCAGGTTAAACAGCGCTCCGGTGGCTGGCTACGAGCAGGACGTGGGCTCCAAGACCACCATGCGTCTCTTCTACCCTGAATCCGCCCACTTCAACCCCAAAGTGGAGGACAACCCTGACACACTCCTCGTCTTGGTAGCTTTCAAGGCCATGGACTTCCACTGGATTGAGAGCATCCTCAGTGATAAGAAGCGAGTACGTGGGGAGACTGGGAGGGGAGAGGTCTCAGCCTGTGGTGGGGGAACGCTGTCCGGGGTCAGGCCCTCCTGCTCCATCATGCGTGCCCCGAGATCCTCAGGAGCCAGTGAGGGCGAGGCGTGAGCTCAACCTTCTGCTACAGCAGCCCAGGGTGCCCCAGTGAGAAGCCTGGGAGCAGAGGGACCAGTCTGTAGTCATCTCCAGGTGGGGGTAGGTTAGAAAAGTCGAGCTCTCTGTCCTTCTAGGTGGACACACCCCAGAAAGTCCACTGTCTCTCTTTGCCATCGGTTGAATGTTCAACTGTCCAACTGGCCATTTTCTGCCAGATGTTGACCTAGCCCCTTCTACCTGTGTGGATGTCATTGGGAGTGAGCAAGGCTTAGACCCCATTCTCTCCACACCATGTCACCGGGCCTCCCGTGGGGACTGCCCCACTCCCCTCTCTCCCTGCTCCTCCCCTCCGGTCCCCGCCCCACCTCTCACCCTGCACTTGTGAGGACTCCGCGCCATCCCCACATGGACCCCTTTCCCTGGAGGAGCCCAGCGGCTGGACTCGAGAAGCAGGTTTCAACCCACTCCCCTCTCGCCTTCCATCCCCACCCGCCTAGGTGCGAAAGGGCTTCTGGAAACAGCCTCCCCTCATCTGGGACGTCAACCCCAAACAGATTCGGATTCTCAACCCCTTCTACATGGAGATCGCGGCTGACAAGCTGCTGAGCCTGCCGATACAACAGCCACACAAGATTAAGCAGGTGATGAGGGGTTGTGGACGGATGGGGAAGCCAGGGGGCTGGCGTCCTGGGTGGGAAGTAGGTGGGACTTCCAGAGGCTTGGGGAGGTCCAGAGAACCCCAGACGAGGGGAGAATACCAGCGGAGAGGGCGGCATGCATCTGAATAACACAGGCCCCAGGCACATACCTGACGTTTACAGCAAGGCAGAGTTCGTACTCTTTTTTGTTTGTTTGTTTTTAAAAGAACAAGTGGCAAGGTTTTTCTTTTTCTAAACATATACTTTTCTTTATTTTGGCTGGCGGGGTCTCTGTTGCTGCGTGGGCTTTTCCCTCATTGTGTGAGCAGGGGGCTGCTCTCTAGTTGCGGTACATGGGCTTTTCATTTGGTGGCTTCTTGATGCAGAGCACAGGCTCCAGGGCGTTTGGGCTTCAGTAGTTGAGGCTCAGCAGTTGCAATTCCCAGGCTCTAGAGGACAGGCTTGGTGATTGTGGGACATGGGCTTCGTTGTTGAGAGGCATGTGGGATCTTCCCAGACCGGGAATTGAACTCGAGTCTCCTGCATTGGCAGGCAGATTCTTCATCACTGAGCCACCCAGGAAGCCCAAGAGTGCAGACTCTTGAGATGCCCAGAGGCATCGCCAAAGTGGGGAGTCCGGGAAGGGTGTTGTTACAGCTTGGGAGCTAGAGTTAGAGGATGGTTTTGGCAGGTGCTGATCAGAATCTGTACACTGGGGATTTACTGGGACAGGCAGTAGTCTTTTGTGTTTTTTTTTCGACTATGTGGCTTGTGGGATTTTAGTTACCAACCAGGCATTGAACCTACACCCCCAGCAGTGAAACTGTAGAGTCCTAACCACTGGTCAGCCAGGGAATTCCGGACAGTCAATAGTCTTATTTTTGGAGCCCAGCCCAAATGAACATGGAGCCCAGACCAAATCCTTCGGTTACTATTTGATCACTTTATCTGTGACCTGATCTTGGAACATGTTGGTCTAAGGGAATTAAAAGAATTGCAGTTGGTCCTGTATACTGTAGTTTGCTAGGTGTGGCAGTTTGGGGAGGCCAGGTGCATCCGCAAGTTATGGTTTTGGTTTTGGCTCTCTAGTGTCTCTGGCTAGCAGGCTTCGTCATACTGGGTAGCATCTCAAGCAGGTACTTCCACGTGTCTTTGAGCCCTCAGGTTGTGTGGGGTAGGAGACAGAGGTAACTATCAGACAGAGAAAGGACTCAAGGTGCCGCCTGCTCTATGGCCTTGGGCCAGTCAACCACTTAGAGCCTTGGTTTTCTTATCTGAGTGGTGAGGAAATGATCAGTACTGACCTTTCCAATAGCCATTCTGGGATTTAAAAAGATAATTATGTAATGTGCTTATCATGAAGGTTGGAACACTGTGAATGCTCAATAAATATTAGCCAAATTTTGAATAAATGATTTTATTCTTTTTTTCTTTTGGCTGTGCCACATGGTTTGCGAGATCTGTTTCCTGAGCAGGGATTGAATCCATGGCATCAGTGGTAAAGAACCCATCTGCCAGTGCAGGAGATATAAGAGATGTGGGTTTGATCCCTGGGTTGGGAAGATCCCCTGGAGGAGGAAAAGGCAACTCTCTCCGGTTATTCTTGCCTGGAGAATCTCATGGACAGAGGAGCCTTGTGGGCTACAGTCCATGGGGTTGCGAAGAGTTGGACATGACTGAATCGACTTAGCATGCATGCATGGCAGTGAAAGCTGGACTCCTAACCACTAGGGCATCGGCCACCAGAGAACTCCCTATGATTTTATTTTTTACTGAATATCTATTATGATTCAACTTCCTGTGTTGAATGCCTGCTTTCTTGACTGCTTAGCACCAGGCCCCAATTTTGAATGCATGGAGAGTAAGACATACTCTTTGCACATAAACACACAGGTTGCAACCTGGAGTGGCAAGATGCTCTAGCAGAGAGTTGTTCCAAGTGCTTTGGGGTCTTGGAGGAGGGGTGGACCTCTGCTTGGGGCTGTCCGGAGTGGTACCATCAGAAGAGGTGAGACCAGAGTTGGACCTTAAGGGGTCTTGGGGCCCAGGGAGCAGACACCTGGAGAAAGGTTTCATTAGGCAAGACCAAGGAGCGCCCCTGGCACTGAGTTCTAGTGCAGGAAGAGGTGGATGGGGGACAGCAAGGAGGAATTCTGTGCCCCTGATGGTGGAGGGTGAAGACTCGAGAGAGAGAGGCCAGAGATGAGGACTAGAACCTGGCTGCTAGCAGAAGGAAGAAGAAATGGATGAACCTGACATCTGTGTTGGTTTCCTGTCACTGCCTAACAAATGACCGCAGTTTAGCAGCTTAAAACAACACCCATATATTGACTCATAGTTCTGGAGGTCAGATGTCCAATACAGCATGGCTGGATTCTCTGGTTAGAATATGCAGGCTGAAATCAAGTTGGCAGCCTGACTGCATTCTTGTCTGGAGGCTTAGAGGGGGACATCCCCTTCCAAGTTCATTCTTGTTGTTGGAAGAATTTGGTTCCTTGTGGTTACAGGACTGAAGTCCCCATTTCCTGGCTGGCTTTCAGCCTAGGGGTGGTACCCTCAGCCTGTTAACAGTGCCCACATACCTTGCTGTCCGGCCCCCTCTGTCTTTAGGCCAGCAGCGCGTGATAAATCCTTCTTGTGTTTCACATGTCCGACTTCCTCCACTGCTGACCTCTAGACCCAGATGTTAAAGCTCATGAGAGGTCAAGCCCACCAGGATTGTCTATCTTCCGGTCCTCTGTGCCATATGAAGCAATCTAACACAGCGTAATATATCTCATCATTTTCATAGGTTACACACACTCTCAAGGGCAAAGGTCATTGGTGGTCATCTTAGAATTCTCCTGCTACAGCATTGATTTTAAGGTGAAATTGAGGGATGTATGATCGTTCCAGGTTTCCAGGACAACTGGGTGGATGGTAATATGTTTAACAACAACATGAATACAGGGGGAGAGGAGAGCTTGGTGAGTTTAAAAAGTCCACGTCCAGGCAGAGCTGGCTCGAAGGTGATGAATGTGTGGTTTGGCAGAGGTCTGAACTGGTTGAGATAACACAATGGAGGTAAAAGCAACAGGGTTGAAATGGAAGGCTGGGGCAGGAAGTGACAGACGAAAGGATAGGAGAACTCAGAAAGGGGCCTGGGGAACACCTGGCCTTAGGGGGTCAGACAAGATCGGGGGAGTGGCTTGAAAATGGGAGTGGGCACTGAAGTGGTCTGGAAGGTAGGTCGTCCCAGCCAAGAAAGAGGATTTGTGAGGTTAGGCTATGGGGTGGCACATCCCGTGAATGAGTCAGTGGTGGAGAAACTGAGATCTTCATAGCAGCCCCTATGGTGGGGGTGGGAGAGGTCCTGCTGACCCCACTTTACGGAAGGCAGAGCCCACCCTCATGAGGGTACACAGCTCAGGAGTGTGAGCACCCTGGGGCTTTCGGGAGAGGTAAGGTTCTCCAGGATGGAGAGCAGAACCTTTCTCCTCCTGGAGGGACTTGTTTAATAGTTCTAAGCCTCAGTTCCCCAGCTGCATACAATGGGGCTAATAAAAGTATCAATCTCAGTGTTTTTGTGAGGACTTGGTGAGAGGTGGTACAGTGGTAAAGAATCCATCTGCCAAGGCAGGAAATGTGGGTTCCATCCCTGGGTTGGGAAGATCCCCTGGAGGAGGAAATGACAACCCACTCCAGTCTTCTTGCCTGGAGAATCCCATGAACAGAGGAGCCTGGCGGGCTATAGTCCGTGGGGTCACAAAGAATTGGACACAATTGAGCAAGCACACACAGATGGGATGACATAAGGGGTAAGATACCATAGTGTCTGGCATGTAGCAAGTGCTCCGAAAGCCATAGATATTATTATTATTGCTGTCATTACCGTCATTCTGTAGTCATCCCCAAAGGTCTGAGCCCTCCCCAGATGTATTAAGCTGTAGTATGCCATATGGTAGGGCTGCTCTGGTAGCTCGGCTGGTAAAGAATCCACCTGCAATGCAGGAGACCCTGGTTCGATTCCTGGGTGGGGAAGATCCCCTGGAGAAGGGACAGGCTGCCCACTCCAGTGTTCTTGGGCTTCCCCAGTGGCTTAGACGGTAAAGAATCCGCCTGCAATGTGGGAGACCTGGGTTTGATCCCTGGGTTGAGAAGATCCCCTGGGGGAGGGCATGGTGACCCACTCCAGTATTCTTGCCTGGAGAATCCCTATGGACAGAGGAGCCTAGCGGGCTACAGTCCTCGGGGTCGCAAAGAGTTGGACACAACTGAGTGACTAAGCAAGCTTCAGCATGCCTTATGGTAGCCATGAGCCATGTGTGGCTAGTTTTTGTTTTTTTGGCTGTGTCCCATGGCTTGTGGGATTTTAGTTCCTCTACCAGGGATCAAACCCAAGCTCTTGGCAGTGAGAGCTCGGTCAGAGTCCTAACCACTGGACCACCAGGGAATTCCCCTCCAGATGCTATTTAAAATTTAATTAGAATTGAATAAAATAAAAAGTTCAGTTCCTTAGCTGCATGAACCCCCACGTGGCTCGTCACTGCCATATAGGACAGCACAGATGAAGAACATTTCCATGATACTAGAAGGTTCTCTCGCAGAGCACTGGCCTAGAGGTGCTGAAAGACTCCGGCTCCCTCTAATACCTTGCCCACCCCTTGCCCCTCAGAAGCCCACCACAGGGCTATTGGCCATCACCCTGGCCCTCCACCTCTGCGACCTGGTGCACATTGCTGGCTTCGGCTACCCAGACGCCCACCAGAAGAAGCAGTCCATTCACTACTATGAGTACATCACACTCAAGTCCATGATGGTAAGCGGTCCCTGCTGGTGCCCTGGGTGGGGCTGACTGGCCTGGGGATGCTGAGTGAGTGAGGGTGGTGCTGGAGGCCCAGAGATGACTCACCTGTGAGGTCACGCAGAGTCAGCGCTGGGAGTGTGGCATCTGGACTCCCAGGCCAGCATCCTCCATATTCTGTCTTCCTTGCGCGAGCCAGCCCGGGGAACAGAGCTCCCGGGCGTGGGTCACGGGAGGGCCAGAGAGCTGCCTAGAAGTTCCTCAGTTTGCTTCCTTGGCTGTCTCCACAGTGGTCAGGCCACAATGTCTCCCAGGAGGCCCTGGCCATCAAGCGGATGCTGGAGATTGGAGCGGTCAAGAACCTCACTTACTTCTGACTCGGGCAGGAGCTGTTCCCATCGGCTCAGCCTGCTGAGCAGCCCCGGTCCGTGCCTCTGGGGGTGCCGGGTGCCAGGTGCCAGCGTGGCCTGCTTGGACTCACCCTCTCCTGTGTGGGGAGGGGGCCAGGTCTGAGACGAGGCCGTGCCCCTGGCTGCTCTGGTGGAGGCCGGATGGAATCAGGGTGGAGGCCCTGGGGCAGGAGGGGCTGGGCCCGGGCCCCGGGGCTTGCTTCTGTGGCATCCCCTCTCTGCCAGTGTCGGGAGATTATTTAAGGGGCTATTTAATTAAGGGGTAGGAACGTGCTGTGGGCTGGCCCCGTGGCATCCAGAAGAGGGGGCATATGGCAGTGTTCTGCTCGCTTTTGACACAGACAGAAGTGATGCGCCCACTATGGCCTAGGCCCAGAGTGGGCCTCCCAGGAGGGCGAGGCGTCTGAAGTGGGCGGTGCCCCCCCAGAGAGGGGTTGCTCCCTCCCAGCAGGCATGGGAAGAGCACTGGCACAGGGGCTCCATGGTGGAAGTGACCTAAAATAGGTTACAAAGTATTAAACTATTTTTCCTAAAACAGAAGCAGCTGTGATACTCTGTCCTTTCAGATGGAAGAAGACACGGATGGGGAGTGGGCCACAGCGGTGGGCCCCCTCGCCCCGTAGTGGGCAGGCGGGCCAGGGTTATCTGGGAAGTCATTGTGTACTGAATACGATGCTTGGGTGGTGCCAAGTCATGCATTGTCACCCTGGCATAGCAGGCAAGCGACTGGTGCTCAGACGGCCCTATCTGCTGGACACCTAGCCTGGCTCTGCATCCTGGTTTTCTCTCCAGAGGTAGGAGGGGCAGGAGGATGCCTGTGGTTGGGAGTGGCAGCACCCTCATTCCCCTCCCTCTCTCTCCCTCACCAGCCCTGTTTCCAGAATCACATGTTGGAAGGTGTGTGTTTGAGGACAAGGGTGGAGACAGACAAAGAAAGCCAAGTTTCCTTCTCAGATTAAGTGGGAATCATAAAGTGGAGTTTACAGAAAGTCCTGCCAGGGGCCCAGGCAGCCAGAATTGGGATGGGCAGGGCACGGGTGGTGTCTGAGGGCTTGGCGAGGCCCGAGAGCAGTCGCTGGGCCAGGGGGTGGAATGATGGAATGCCTTTGCCCTCCACCCCCTCTCCCCCCGGGCCAGGTTTTTATAATCGTGATAGCCCTGCTGTCTGCTGGTCTCTGCCTAGCTTGCTTTCCCATCTTCCCAGACCTGGCTAAGCTGCCAAGTGGCGTCCCGCCACTCTCCCAGCTGTGCCTTTACATCTGGAGCCAGGAGGGAGAGCCGGACCTCCCCCAGTGGGAAGGGACTCACAGCTGTGTTCCTGGCTTTCTCGGAAAGAGTTGCAGCCTTGAGGTTTTGAGACGGCAAGGCTGGGACAGGACAGATAAGGAGGGGCAGAGATTTCGGAGGAGCGGAGGACCATGCCAGGAGATGGACTTGCTCTGTCGGAAGCCTGGCAGAACCCCTCTGCTAGCTGCTGTCCTCCCGGGGTGAGAGCAAATGGGGCCGCAGCCCCAGGCCCCCTCCTTTCTCCTCCACATGGGCGGGCTTCGTCTCCAGGCTTTGTCCTGGGGGGGCCTTGCTGACCCCGCCGGGCGTGCGTGTGTGCAGGAACCTCAGCTCTGCTTATTCCTGGTGCATCTCCAGCTGCTGCTTGTGAGGGTTTGCATGGGAGTGTTCAGTTCCCCATGCAGGCCATTGAAAGTGGCTGTCAGCACGTATGATCCAGCTGTCCTGGATTGGGGCCACTGCCTGTTACTGGATGTGCCTAAATTCGAGCCAGAAACCAAACTCATACCCACCACCCTCCTCCAAACTCCACACACACACACACACAGACACACACACACACACACACGTAGACATGGGAGCGATTTACATTTTGGCATGAAGCCTGTGAAGCCTACACACAGACAGTAATCTGTGATTACATCCACACAGGAGTGTGTATGGGAAGGGGGTGTGTATACCCCCCAAACTGGCCATTGCTCCTTGGGTGGGGGTGTGGGGTCAGCGTATGGAAAGAGGGTGTGTATACCCCCCAAACTAGCCATTGCTCCTTGGGTGGGGGTGCGGGGTCAGCGTTCTCCAGGGTACCCCAATCCCGGGCGCCCCAATCCCGGGCAGATAGAGGCAGCACCAGGGGCCCCAGGGCAGGCAGTGGAGCTTTGATGACGAGTTGCTGGATGGAGTTCTTTCGAGTTCTGAGAAAGGAACTGTCATTCTTCAGTTAGCCTGGCCAATGAGGATGAACTGCCCGCCAGCCCACCTGCCTGGTTCTGATTAAACCTGGCCGCTGGGAAAAGGAGGCAGGAGAGAAGCAGGGCATGGCAGAGGGAAAGCACTTGACTGCTGGCCCACAAATGTGGGTCCCCCACCGGGCTCTGTCACTTAATTCTGTCCGACCTTGGGCTGATCACTTCTCCACGTCAGTGCTCCAATTCCTACATTCCTTGAAATAGGAGGGAGGGTCCAGCCAATGAGGACCACCGGTGCTGGATCATCTGGGTGTGATTTAAGAATGCAGATTCTCGGGTTTTACCCAGGCCTCTGGGGATGGAGCCCAGGAATCTGGAATTAACAAGCACCCGCAACCACTGCTCCAGTCGTCTAGACTACAGGATAATCTCACGGGCCTCTTTCAACTCAACGGTCTGCGTGCAAAACCCAGGCTAATCCCCGGTGCCCTTGAGCCGCGTTAATTACGCGCAAGCGCGGTTTTGTCCCACGGGCGGGGGCGGAGGCCGGAGCGGCGCACGCGTCCTCGGCCCAGAGGGCGCGGGTCAGGGGCCGTCCAGGCAGAGCGGCGCCCTAGCGCGGTGCGCCCGGGGGCCTCCGGGTTGCTGAGAGGCCGGTGCCTCCCTGGCAACCGGCTCCGGGCCTGGCAGCAGCCGCCGAGCCCGCACCCGTCTGTCTGCCGGGTTTGCAGGCGAACCACAGTTTTTTTCCGGGGGGCTCGTCTGAACTCCCGCCGCGGCTTGCTCACCGCCGGGGTGGGGGTGACACAGACTCGGGCTACCGGCCATCGGAGGAGATCCGCCCAGTGCGGTGTAGACCGGGCGGCCCATCTCTCCGCCACAGAGGCCCGGAGAAGAGGCGGAACAACCAGCTCCACCTCCTAGCTGGGCAAGACAGAGCTTAAGGCTTTAGTCCATCATCACGTCGAAATGATGTTATGTATTCACATTAAGTGAAAGTGCTGAACACTTCGGGTTTTTATTGACACTTTCCGAGGACATGAATACATCCAATTGCCTTCCCCCAGAGACTGGCCAGCAGCCTGCTTAAAGTTTGAACTCGGAAGTGGTTTTGTCTGTGAGACAGTTACCTGTAAGCCCACACACACACCCGTGCTCTGTCATGTGACCTGTAAAATAGTGATTACGCATGCCTGTCCCACAAGGAGGTTTTAAGGATCTAGTGGGAATATGTCTGGCAAAACATTGGGTTGACTGTAAAGTATGATGTCAATGTTAGATTGTAAAGCTACTTTTTGCATGATGAAGAATACCTGAAAGCATATGAAACAGGTGAGGCCCATCTGGAAGGTCAAACGTATGCCCAGGTAGAGCTAGTTACAGAAAAGTGTCTTCAAGTCACCAACAAGCTCAGCAGAGGAAGGTAAGAGGCTGGTAACAGGACTCAAATGCAGGTTTCGCAGAAAACAGCAAAGAACTGTGAGTTCAAACTGCTCTTGGGCAACGGTTTTCAAGTTGAAGTCAGACACGCTCAGGTGCTTTTGGAGAAAGGTGTTTTTCTGGGTGGCATTATGTGTTTCTATGGACATGAGTTTGAGCAAACTCCAGGAGATAATGGAGGACAGGGAAGCCTGGTGTGCTGCAGTGGGTGGGGTTGGAAAGAGTCCGCAGGTCTGGGGACTGAACAACAATGTTTCCATGGCAGGCAGCTTCCCAGGGCAGGTTGCTAAACAAAGGCTGAGAAGTACATCTTAATAGTTGGTAAGCTCTCCCCAAACCATCTGACTGTTTTGATGTCTTAATTATAGCTTCAGAAAATTATTTGTTAGTTTTGAGCATTTCCTTGGTTTGTACCGGACGTGATTCCAGGAAATCTTTCCAACTTAAGAGTTTGAGGAGGGATCTATGTGTGTATGTCAGTAGTTAAGAGATGGTTTTCCTGACCAGATCTTTCTTAGTGACTTGACCTCTCTTGTTAGAGTTTGTGGGGATTCTGCACTTGAGAATTGAGGCAGGGAGATGAACCTCGAGTCTTATTAGATATCAGATTTTGGGGGAGCTCTAATGTATTGGGGGCTCCCCCTCTTCAAGTAAAGGGAGTGCAGGGAGCTGGGAGCAAGTTGGGGAGACTTCAGTCCTGGGTAGGAGGGTTAGCACAGAGGATTTGACAAAAGGCTTTAGGAGAAACAATACGTTGGGAGCCAGAGTTCAGATTTCCTGGGACGACCAATTTAAAGTACTGCACCCCTCAAGAGAGACGCTGTTTCCTCTCAAGAATCTTGCAAGACTGGCAGGATGGAATTGGTGGAGGGAATGATAGGAATCACCCCAGGGAATTGAAGTTGGAATTACTTAACTAAGCTGTTCCAGAACTGTCTATTATTCTGAGGTTTCCTAAAACATCATTTACGTACATCATCAACTTTAACGCTTAAGGAGTGTCTTCACTTGCCTAAAAATGTGTTTCTCTTCTAAAGAAAAATATCACAAGAGGACAAGTTACAGTCTGGTAGGGAGATTCTTTCTAGTTCTGTGCTTTTTTTCTGTACATTTCTGTTCCACTTGTAGCCCCACATGGCAAGAGAACTAGAGAAAATTTTAATTAAAAGTCAGATAGGAAATTCTCATCTGAAAATTCTGCTGTAGAAGTCCTGAATCTTTATCTATATCACTTTATCACTAATGCCTTCTCCACTCAGTATTTCTCCCAAGTGCAGAGCCCACTAGTGTCATGAATTTGTCTTCTAATCCTTGGGTAGCAAGGCCCTGGCCCTTTAATTTCTTTACAAAGGTGATGAAGGTGGTATCTTAAACTTAGTTCCCTTGAACCTGTTTTTGCTTAATTGAGGATGACCTTCACAGGGATAAATCCCTATATTCAGCTTTTATCCTCAGTGGCACTTCTCCTTTTGTATAAGAAGGAGTAGATTTCTGGTAAGGTCTAGTTAATAAGACCCCGATTCTCCCTAAGAAGACCTGTTTCTTGAGACTTCACATACCTTGTCTTTGAATCTTAGTACTTTAGATTCACTCCAAAGAAGACAGCTATAGAGAAGCATTATGTGACTGTTCTCATAGCCTTCCAAGTTTATTTCCAAGGGCCATAGTTTGAGACACAACGGAAGGAAGTTCCTTTGTGTGCCCGGGGCTCCCTGATTGGTGAGCACAGGGAAGATATTTGGCCCAGGGATTGAGGCCATCCCAGCCCTGTGGGTGGGCCGAGCCGGCTGGCCCAGGGAGGAGCTCTGGAACATGGAATGGCAGGCAGATACAGGCCCCAGGGATGTAGACCAGAACTCAACGATGGAGCTTGTGAATGTCATGTGTTCACAAGAGGCCTTGTAAAGATGAGGGCTGTGGTAGGTGTGAAACCACAGGACCTGTGGTCCAAAAGCTTTCAGTACATGTTCAAGATTTCACCAACAGAGAGGAGGAGGAGATGGAGCCAGGAAGAACAGCAGTTAGAGAGGGAATGTGTGGACAGGACTCTTCCTGCAACACAAATGTGTTCATCCAGGAAAATAAATCCTTATGTTTAAAAAGAAAAGTAGCTTGGGATTGTCTCATTTTTCCCAACTGATGACCTAGTTAGGAAAATGGAAACACAGGGGATTGGGGAAAAGATGAGCCTTACGGAATTTGAGAAGTAACATCAGAGGGAGTGTTTGATCAGTGAGTCTCAGAGATCCTGTAGTTTTGATTCTGAAGCTGCAAATGTCTGGCCTGTGGTTACAGCTCCTAAAAAACAGCTTCTGTAAGAGGCTTCTTTAAAGGGGAAGTAGACCTCAAGATTTAGTTGAAATGTCCTTGGTTTATGTCTAACCATTCATGTTTTTGAAATAAACATCTATATGCAAATTAGGATCATTTTTATTTAAATATTTATACTTTTATTTCAACAGAGAGTTGATTTTATAGGGAAACTTCTTAGAAGAAACTAATTACAGGACTCCCCCTTCGTGGTTTTTTCTGGTGGCATCACAAACCATGCATACGTGGGGAGGGCTGGTGGGACTCCTGGAGTGTGTAGCTGGTGATTTCAGTTCCGATCATGTCATAGCAAAGGCCATGTGCCCAGTGTATGCCCCTCCCCCATATAGGAAGTGAAAAGGAATTTTTGTTGGCTCCTTTTCTCCTGTTCTGAGAAATCTCCCAAAAGCTGCATTACGTTTGCTGTTATTTCCCGTGTTCCCCTCCACTCCGGAAGCTCCCAGGCAGCTTCAAGGCCTGTGCCTTGAAGCACTGTTTCAGTCGTCTCCATCAGAGACGGGTTTACTATGGTGCCCTGGTGCTTTGTATGAAACCACCTTCCATTCCATGAGAGTTGAAGACATGGTGGAAATAACCCTGGGCTTTCCAGACTGATAACGAGCCTGAGAGTTAGAAATTGGGCCCTCGGCCAGTGACTCGGAGCCAATAACGAATTGTAAAGCTATCGGAAAGCTGGATCCTGGCCTTGGGAATGGGGCGTGGGGGGGTAGTGATTTGATACACAGACGCGCTTTCCCAGGAAGTTGCTGTCTCTCCAGGTCATTCGGGGACTGGGGGTGGAGGATGCCAGTCATGCTTTCCTACTGGAGCTGCAGCCTGCCCTTCCTCTGCCCGCCCCCGAGTGGGTCCTTGCTTATGGCCTTCGGCACCGGGCATTTTCTAGGATGAGAGTGGCCTTGGGCTTTTGCTGTGGCTGGAAACATGTCACAGAGGAAAGCATCTGTTTAATCTCATGTGCGTCACTTGTTAGCTCTGTGACCTTGGGCTGGTCTTTGGTTTCTTAAAGCCTCACTGCCTTGTCTGTTAAATGATGATACTTTGTAGAAATGCAGGAATTAAATAAGATTACAAATGTGAAGCAATCATTTCAGTTGGTGTGAAGTCACCTGTAGGGAAATTCAGGGCTTCCCACTGCCTTAATTTTTTTTTTTTAACACTTCCCTTTACCAACTTTTTTGCCTTTCACTCTTGCATGAGAAGTAAATGGGGCCAGAGGGGTAAAAGGATGTATATAGCTCAGTCCAGCATCCTTCTCAATGCCTTGGTGGTAGTGCTTACTGATTTCACCTACCTGTGTTCTTCTCTTTCAACCAGGGCTTACGTGTGATCTCATACCCTTTCCGTGATTCTCTGCTGTGTCTATGCCTTGGAGAGGGCTCAGGGGGTGGTCCCATGTAGCCAAGTCTTCACTGTGCAGCCCCATCTTCTGTGATGTCCATAGCCCCACCCTGGGAGTGTCTGAGCCTCTAAGGGAAAAGAGGGTTCTGTTCTCCAGATCAGATTTCTTCCCAGGTTGTTCTGTGCCATAACCTTGGGTTCCAAGAAAAAAATGGGCACCTCCATCCTTTTAGAACTGTGTATTGTGGGTGGGGATGATTGCGCGGGGGGTAAGGGGCAAGATAGGCTGTGGTGAGGATTAGAAGATCAATTTCCCACCCGCCTCCAAGGTGTGGGAGAGCAGAAGTGAATGGACAGATCATCTTAGGTCATCCTCCTCCTATTCTAGCACATCAAGGCATTCTGCATTTGATCTTACACCCTTATTCTTTATTAGCAAAGGCAAAATATATATATATGGGAAAGAAGACTTGTGGGGTTAGAAGACTTAGAGGGCTTCCCTGGTGGCTCAGTGGTAAAGAATCTGCTTGCCAATGCTGGAGACACGAGTTCGATCCCTGGTCCGGGAAGATCTCACATGAAGCCCGTGCGCCACAAGTATTGAGGCTGTGGTCTCGAGCCCTGAAACCACAACTGCCGAGCCCACGTGCTGCAAGTACTGAAGCCTGTGCATCCTAGAGCCCATAGCCGGCAGAGTTCTTGCAACAAAAGAACTCACCACAATGAGAAACCTGTGCTAGGTAACAGAGTAGCCCTGCTTGCCACAGCTAAAGAAAAGCCTGCACAGCAATGAAGACCCAGCACAGCCAAATAAATAAAATTTTTAAATGTTAGCAATTATTAGAAAAAAAATTAAGCTGGAGCCCACAGGCATCTGTGCTGGGCCAGAAATGGTACTCTGGTACCAGGAGCAAGCTGTGAGGCTGGGATGTACACTTAGAGTTCTTAATCAGTTTCTACTCCCTCGGGCTTGGGGGCTATAAAGGAAGATATGAAGGAAATGGGAGGTTCTGAAGCAATAGGAAATATGATGGAAGTAGATAAATCCTTTGAGTGGAGATGTTAGGAAGGCAATGCATAGAATCTGTGGATTGAGGCTGTCCAAGGAAGCAATGGTGGGGAGAAGCAGCCTTTCATGATGAAGGTTCCCATGATGGGTAAGGACCCCAGGGAAGGTTTGAGGAGAAGAGGCTAAAACTTAGGAGGAATCCCAACCTTCAGGACAACGTGGCTTCCGCAAAGCTCGCAGAGTGAGCATTCTAATTTGGCCCTGTTTATCCATGCCAGCCTGTCGGCCATCACCATGCCAAGCTTTGCACCTAAACAAAGCCATTCTTAGAAAGAACATCATTTGAGTCTCATAGTGTCCGGTTGCTTGGTGGCACAGGCTCTTTGAAGAGGGCCTCCTCTCCTTAACCCCCAATGGAGGGAGCTGACTTTGCAGAATACTGCCAGAAGAAAGGCCTAGAAGGACCCCACCAATGCGGTCTGGCCCCTTTGCCCCTGAGCCGTATCTGGCACGAGTCAGGTGGTTGGTGAGGCCCCGCGTTCGTGTGCCCTCTGGGTTGGGCACTTCCTATAGGAATCTGCCTCTAGGTCTTGTTGCCATCGCAACCAGAGCTCTCCACTGCTTGGGAAAGCCGAATGAAAGCCGGGCCAGGAACCCTGGGTTCCCAAAACATCCTCTGAGCTTTTGGGGTCTCCCATGGCTCAGCAGGAACAAAAGAACAGAACGGATCTCTTGGAGGCAGGGCCCCTAATGTTTATTCTCAGGTGGCAGGTAGGCATGAGGAGCTGATTTGCATCCTCTGGTGCCCCTGCAGTCTTACTGAAGACAGGACCACGGTTCTGTGTGTGCCTCTAGGCTCAGCTGAGAAGGCAAGTCTCATCACTTGAAAGGCCGGCCTGCTGGTCCCCTCAAACCCCATGCATCCCCAGACAGTCTCTCCAACCGCTGTTTAAAGAACCCTGACCAGAGCAGCTCTCACACTCCTTATATTGACTCTGAATGTGCAGGGGTCGGGGGGGAGGAGTACACGAAGCAGGGTTGGGGGGAGGCTCTGGGTCACACAGCCTGGCGAGGGGTCCCCGGGTGTCACACTCCCCCTCCTTCCCCACCCCCACCCCCAGACACAGTCTCTGATTAGACCAGTCCCACCGCAGAGCTGAGAGGCATCCAGTCCAAGGACAGAACTGCAAGAGTATGGACACAAAACACCGAACAAATTGGGTGGTGGCCAAGGGCCAGGGCCAGTTCTGGCTTCCCAGCCTCGGAGGGTCTGGGCTATGAGCGGCAGGGGGCACTGGGGTAGCTCAGTGCCGGGAGCGCTTGACCCCCTGCTCCCCAGGGCTGCGGTGCTGAAGCACAGGAATGGGGATAGGGCTGGCGGGCAGCAAGGGGTACAATTCACGAAAGCAGAGTTTTAGCTGCCTCTGGAGCCTGTGGGAGGGGCAGGTGGAGGAGGGCCTCCGGAAAAAGGCCGGGACCGAGAGGCCGGCAAAGAGCACACCTCCTCTCGGCCGCATCCTCTGCCCGCATCTCCACCTGCAAGCCCCTGTGCGCTGCTGCTGGGCCCACGTTTGTGCTCCATCCATCGGGGCTGCGGGCAGGGTGGTGGCACTCGGGGCTGTCCTGGAGGCGGCTGCTTCCGGGGTCCTTTGCAAAGTCTCTGCCGAGCCAGACCGAGCTCCGACCCGTCCCCCACCCTCGGTCCGGCTTGCTCAGACGTGCGTCTGCATCCGCCGCTGCAGGGGCCGGCTGGGGTCGGAGTTCTGCGAAGAGGACTGGGAGTGGTGGGAGGAGGAGGCCGAGGCCTTGCTCGCCTTGTCGAACTGCACGTAGCCGTCCTGCTTGCCGCTGCTGCTGACGCTGCTGTCGCACTGCGTGTCCAGGAACGAGCTGCTGTCGCTAAGCGAGCCCCGCTGGAATTCCCGCTCGCAGAGCTCGATGGACGAGCTGCCCATGCCCAGCACGAACCTCTGCCCGTAGTCGTAGAGGCGGCTCTGGCCGCTCAGCGTGCTGTAGATGTTGGTGAAGGACATGCCAGTGGGCACGCGCTGCTTGCCCGTGGGGCGCAGGTCCGGCTGGCAGCTGGACAGCGAGATGGTGGGGGTCGAGTGGTGTTCCTTGAAGGTGTTGACGCTGTAGTAGCCGTTGGTGGGGTCCTGCAGAGGCCGGAGGGAGAGCCTTGTCACATCACTGGATGGACAGCAGGGAAGGGCCAGGGACAGACAGGAGGAAGGCAGGGGAGGAAGGCAGGGGGTCAGAGTGGGGGTGTGGATTATTATCCTGGGCAGGATGCTGACAGGTATTCAAGTAGCGTCTTGCCCAGTGTGTGCTTAATTGCTCAGTGGTGTCCAACTCTTTGCCACGCTATGGACTGTAGCCTGTCAGGCTCCTCTGTCCCTGGAATTCTCCAGGCAAGAATACTGGGGTGGGTTGCCATTTCCTTCTCCAGGTGATCTTCCCGACCCAGGGATCGAACTCCCGCCTGCATTGGCAGGCGGGTTCTTTACCACTAACGCCACCTGGGAAACCCAGTCTTGCCGGGCATGTTTTGTTATTTCAGGGCAGCTAGCTCAAGATCATGTGAGAATCTTTCATTATTTTTTGTTTTAGTCCAGAACATGGAAATTCATTATAAATGTGATTGGCAAGGAAGTTAACTCTCTCATCTCCTTGTGGGGGGAGGGGGTGATCCCAACTTTACTGAGAGGAGAGGTCCCCAAGGTGAGTTCTGGCCTTTCTCTTCCTATTTGCTGCTGTGGTTTGCCCGAATCTGGGGCCGGGGTCATCAGCGCTGAAGCCTGGAATCCAGGCCGTGCGGTGAGTCTAAGCGGGGCTCTTCTTACCTTCAGGTTCTGAAACTCCTTCTCTTCTTCTTTGAGCACCTCCAGCTGCTTCAGCACTGAGTCTTGCTGGAATTCACCGCGGTCCATCTACAACCCCAAAACAGCTGCTCAGAGGGTAGGAAGTGGCCTGACTGTCCACTCATCCCAGGGGAAAGCTGGAGAAATGAACTCAAAAGATGCTTGCCATCTCTGCCTCCCCCGCCCCCCAGAGGCAGGTGACAAGAGTCCAGAGGAGATTCCAGATCTCATTGTTATTCTTGGACCCTTGGACCCCTATCCCCACCCCCTCATGAGAGCTGGAGACAAAGAGGTGGGTGCTTGCAAGGCCCGTTTCTAAGACGCACTCCCTTCCTTCCCTCTCTTCCTATGTTGGCTACTGTTATCACCTCCAGGGATTTCACTTTGATTCAGTTCAATTGTGAGCATTTACTGACTTCAGGCCAGGCATTGTGCTGAAGGCCAGGCAAACAAAGATGAAGAGACTTTATGAAACAGCTTTGCTCAACAGGAGGTGGACCTGTAGATAAATAACTGCAGAACCTCTGGGCAGCAGGCAGGACCTTGAGAAGGAATCAATGGAAGCTACCTGAGAGGAGGTGGCAACTAGGGCCTCACCTGTTATTCACTGCAAGGACTTAGACTATTATTAAAAGTTATCTTCCTGAATGGAGGCCAGAGAATCAGGGGGCAGGGATCTATTTCTGTTTCTCTTTGGGTCTCCAGCATGCCTGGTACAGTGCCTGTGGTCATTGACCAAAATCCTTTTGGAGTGGAGTCATATTTAATTGTGTGGTATTAATTCTTTGACTTGCTGGTGCCCAGTGTGGTGCCTGCTATATAGCAGGGCTGTCAGAAATGTTATGTTTATGTCAGATGAATGAATGAATGAAGGGACATGCCTCAAAATTACTAAAAATTAAAAAAATAATGCTCACTTAAGGTGAAAGATAAAGCATACTTGGCACACAGTGGGTGCATTAATTAGTCTGAATAGCCACAGTGGTGCCTGTCCCGTGGTACAGAATGTTCTTCCCATCTATCACTTCCGCACCTGACACAATCTGGTCCAGGTCCCACCCACTCTCAGGGCTGGGATGTGTCTTTTTCTTTGTGACTCATTTTCCTGATCTATTTTTGGAGCCCCAGAGAATTAATCAAGGCTGTTCCATCCTGTTAACTCCCCACTAATGCTGCTTTTTTCATTTTCATTTTCCAGTATTGCTGTGGCTATCTCGATCTGGTTCTTCTCTCCCACCAGATTCAACTCCTAAGCCTGCCTCTCCTCCATGCTGGGCTGTATCAGGGCAGGGGAAAGAAGGTCTCCTCAAGGGGAGCCCTCACTGGGTTCCTCTGCTGGGGTTATCCCCTACTTTTAACTGACTGCTGGGTTACCCCCCACTCTTTAGGGTCTGGACCGGACCGTGGTGTCGAGACAGTCAGGGGAGTTCAGAACATCCCACTGGGAGGGAATGCAAGGTCCCTGGGGGATGAAGGACAGGCATGGGGACCTCCACACCAGACTTGATAAAGCTCATCAACAGAGATGTCCATTCCTGCCCAGGTCTGGGCTGTGGTCCCCTCCCTTGTAAGAATGACTGTTCTATGTGTCAGATATTGTGTTTGCTTGAGCGAAGCAGACATTAGCAGACCTTTGAGAAACTCTGGGATTCTTGGTGATGCTCACAGGTAATTAGATATATGTACTATGGACGAGAAACATGTGGGACTTCCCTGGTGGTCCAGTGGTTAAGAATCCACCCTTCAGTGCCGGGGATGTGGGTTCGATCCCTGGCTGGGGAACTAAGGTCCCACATAGCACAGGATCAGATTTGCATTTTAGAAGGACTCTGGTGAGTAAAATGGTAAAAGACGAGAATGTGGGACCACTTGGGCGGGTGCTGTCAGTCATGGACCAGGGAAGCCGTGAGGCCTGTGCTAAGGAGTAACAGTGAAGAAGTGACAGAGGCACCTATTTGAAAAGATGGTGAAGTGGAAATTGACAGGACCGGAAAATCAACTGGATAGAAAAAGAGCAGCAGAGAAGACATTAATTTAATTCCCTGAATGGCGGCGAGCATCTAACAGGGACCGTGGAAGGCGCCAGGGACACAGGGCTGACTTAAGGCGGCTTGCTCATCCTCTAGTGGAGGCAGATAAGGAAACAGGTGACTTCATATTGACGTAAATAGCTCCCCTTCCTTGGCGCCCTGTGTCCCACTGGCTCCACGCTCTTCAGGGGTTTACCCACTGAGCCCTCACGCTGCCGTGTACTGCATGACCTTCACCCCATTTCCTAGATAAGAAGACTGGGGGACAAAGAGGCCCAGGCTGTTGGCCCACTTGCTTGCTGCTGCTCCTCTGACATATTATAACTGTGATACAATATGCAACAGAGCATTCTAGCAGAGTTTTCCAGGGTCTGTCTGCACAGAGGGATGAGTCATGGTCCATCCATGGAAATCAGGAGGAGGAGGAGGAAAAGGAGTGGCCTTGGGGGTGCCAGAGAAGTTATGAGTGTACCACAGTCCAGCTCCTGAAGAGGAAGCTGTGCTTACTGCAGACTTCTGTTGGGGGTAGGGGAGAAGGCATGTACTGAATGTTGATAACACCCGTGTGTGTATGTGTATAGGATTATACCTTATGTCACATCATATTATGACAATTTATGTACATCACTTTGCCGACAGAGGTCCTAATAGTCAAGCAGTCAAGGGGTTTTTCCAGAAGTCATGTACAGATGTGAGAGTTGGATCATAAAGAAGGCTGAGCCCCCAAAGAATTGGTGCTGTCGAACTGTGGTGCTGGACAGGACTCTTGAGAATCCCTTAGACAGCAAGGCTATCAAACCAGTCAACCCTAAAGGAAATCAACCTTGAATATTCACTGGAAGGACTGATGATGAAGCTGAAGCTGAAGCTCCAATACTCTGGCCACCAAAAGAACTGATGCGAAGAACTGACTCATTTGAAAAGACCCTGATGCTGGGAAAGACTGAAGGCAAAAGGAGAAGGGGTGGCAGATGATGAGATGGTTAGATGGCATCATGATTCAATGAACATGAATCTGAGCAAACTCTGGGAGACAGAGGAGCCTGGTGTGCTGCAGTCCGTTGGGTCACAAAGAGTTGGACATGACTTAGCGACTGAACAGTGTATGTGTTCTCTCCCTACGGACAGTTGGGTTCTTCGAAAGCTGGGAATTCATGTTAGCTGTCTTTGAGTCTCTGAGAACTTCAAACACGATATAGTAGACACACTATACACCTTTGTTGACTGAGAATACAACCATACTTAGTTTTATTGCACTTTGCAAATATTTCTTTTTTTTAAATAAATCCAAGGTTTGTGTCAACCTGTGTTGGGCAAGTCTATTGGCATCATTTCCCCAAAAGTGTTTGCTGCTCACTTCATGTCTTGATAATTCTCATGATAGTTCAAACCTTTTTTTTTTTTTCGGCTGGGCTGTGCAGCATATGGGATCTCAGTTCATCAACCAGGGATTGAACCTGCTCCCCTTTCAATGGGAACCAGGAGTCTTAACCACTGGACCACCAGGGAAGTCCCCAAACCTTGTCATTAGTATAAGCTTTGTTACGGAGATCTGTGATCAGTCGATCTTTGATGTTCCTACTCACTGAAGGCTCAGATGATGGTTAGCATTTTTTAGCAATGAAGTACTTTTAAATTAAGGTATGTACACTTTAAAAGACATAATGCTATTGTACAGTTAACAAGCTAATTGTATAGTGTAAATGTAACTTTGGTATGTACTGGGAAACAAACAAAAAAAATGCATGAGGCTCGCTTTATCATGGTGGTCTGGAACCCAACCAATGGAGCCTCCTAGGTCTGCCTGTGGATGCCTGGCCTATAAGCGAGGTGGGGGCCGGGGGAGGCAGAGAAGCACATCTTGACTGATGCTTTGTTCTCAGGAGCATCTAGAGCATCAGGAAGCCTCTGGTGCTGGGACCTTCAGGGCACAGAGGTCTGGGTGGGGGGCGGGGATACGATGATATTCTCACCATCAGCTGCTTGATGGTGGGGTGTTCCTCAGCCTCCCGGCCTGAGGCAGGCTCCTTGTGGACAATCTCCACCCGGATGTCATTTTTGGCCGACACAACACCTTTGAGATCTGGACATAAAATAAGAAAGCGTAGACGACAGACAATTGTTATCTCAGACTTCAGGGCCTGAGTTGTCAAGCTCCCCGCTCCCCTTGGGTCTACTCTCTGGCCCCTGAACTCAGCAGTTTCATGCATCCCCCCCCCGCCCCTCCCACCCCCACCCCAGTAATAGAACACCTGTCTGCACGTGCTGTGGGCTGCTGTTGGGGCAGGGCCTTCTCTGAGGGCTCCTGGTTGCACATTTCTCAGCCTTTCACTCCTGCTCCCGTGGCCACTGGTCATCCTACTAAGTTCTCACTTCCTTCTAGGAGTCTTCTCTGACCTGCCCTACCCAGCTCTGGTCTCTCTGTTCAGATAATCCCACCTCTGATTGTGGGAAAGGACCTGGAGATCCCCTGGTCCAGCTCCCACCCGAGGCGGAAGCACCCCTGCGCCAGTGTGGTCCAGCTTTTGTGATGGAGAGCTTAACGGCTTCTAGAGCGGGGAGCCCATTGATAACCTGGAGAGAGCTCTGCTAGGAAATTGCTGCTAAAATACACTTCCCTATGGAGCCCACTGAGTGGGCGGGAAGGGAGGGCCTGACCCTGCATCCTTGGGAGCCTTCAAGAGAGCAAGGCCGCTCAGCTTGGAGGGGAGGACACAGGCAGCCTTTTTCCATCACGTGAAGGCTGCCAAGTGGAGGAGGGAGCAGGCTTCCTCCGCTGACTCACGTGGTGCCTTATGCTCACAGAATGTTAGAGCGGTGGGACTCTGAGGGTCACTTCAGCCGGCCCCTTGCTGTCACACGGGAGGAAACGGACGCCCGGAGTAGCTGTGGCTTGCCCGGGGGTCACTGGGTAGAAACGGTGGGGCAGCAAGACTGTGTCTCTATTGTTCCCACGGATCCACCATCCCATCTACCCTTCCCGGCGTCTGTCCAGCACACAGAATTTCAGAGCTACACTCAGGATGGAGAGTCCAGGCACACATGATTCAAGAGGGCATCAACACCCCAACTTTATGGCTAATGACCAAAGGCCTTTTAAGAGTCCACACGAAGCAGTTCCCTGAGTGCTTTTGTTGTTTATTTTTGTGTGTGGGTGACCGGCTTTTCTGGTTGGACTAGCAGATCTCGAGGGCAAGGATTCCCGCCCCCCACCCCGCCCCTCCCGAGGGATTTCAGTACAGTTCCCAAAGCACGGGGAGTGTGGTGTGTGTTCGATCCAAGGTGCCAGCCGACGGCCCGCGGGAGGACGCCCACTTCGGTCCAGCTCAGCATCAGCCACGTGCCCACTGTGTCCCGGATGCGGGGCAAGGCGCCGCACGCGGAAAGATACGTGAGACCCGGCCCTGCCCCTGAAGCTCACAGCGCTGGCGGGGCCCCTGGTGCTCCCGCTCACTTGCTCTCCCGGGCAGCCTAAGCCTGACCTTTTCCTCCGTCCCCCTCCCCGAGCTCCCGGCCCTCCCTCCCGTACTTCTCTGGGAGCGGGCGCAGCAGAAGGCCACGATGGTTGCCAGAAGGACGAGGAAGGCCACGCCAGCTCCGACGGCCACCCCGATGATGACGGCCATCGGTACAGCCTCTGCGGGACAGAAGGAGGCGCGCTGACTGGGGAGCCGGGACAGTCCACTCTCCCCCGGGGACCCCACCCAGCTCCTCGGGCTCAGCCCCTGCCCAGCTCTGGGCGTGGATGCGCCTGGGAAAGGCCGCGGGGGCCTGGGCAGGCTCCGGCAGAGGTCACGGGGGTCAGCTCGGGCGGGGACGGGTCACGTGGAGGGGGCAGGGGGACTGAGAAAGATGGGGAGCAGTGATGAGGGGGAGACAGGCAAGCAGACACGGGAGGGGCGGGGAGCGTGGAGATGAGAGGCGAGGCTGGGTGCAGCTGAGCGCCCCGCGGGCGTAAACCAGGAGAGTCTTAAGTCCCTGGATTTCTTTGGCAGGTGACCATGGTCACTGCTGCTGCTTTTGTTTGCTCTGTCTTTTCCTTCTCTTCCCTTTCCCAGGGCTGGGGGTGGACATGGACAACCAGGTTTCAGAGAGTTTTCAGGTCTGAGGCAGTTTCAGGGCCTGGGCATCACAGGTGGAAGGTGCCAGAGGCAAGTCTTAGAGGCGGGAGGGCAGGATCAGAGCTCCCCGCCCACTTCTTTTTGAAGAAAAAAAAAACACTTTTTTTTTTTCCAATTTTTTGGTCTCGCCGTGCAGCACACAGGGATCTTAGTTCCCTGAGCAGGGATCGAACCCATGCCCCCTGCAGAGTCCTAACCACTGGACCACCAGGGATTTCCTTCCCCCCACCTCTTTAAGGAGAGAGACCCAGTCCTGCTCCCGCCTCTCCTGGGCCAGTCTCCCGGGCAGGAATCCTGACACCCCACCCTGCCAGAGAGGCGCCTGGAATGCCAGCCAGGCAGGGCTTCGCTTCCTGTCGAGTTCCTGTAGTGTGTCTCATGCCCTCCTCCAGTAGAGACGGGTGGGGAGCGGGAGGGTTAGGGTGACATTAGGGTGGTGGGGTCGCTCTTCCAGACGGTCCAGACCTTTCTGTGGTAGCAGAGGGGGCCTCAGCATAAGATGTGGGGCCCTGAAGTGTCCATGGGGGGATAAATAAGGAATGGGAGGGCCAGCTTAGGGCTCACAGAGTCCAAGCCTCCCATTTACAGATGGACACCCGGAGGCCCAGAGAAGTCAAGTGACTTGGTTAAGGACACGCAGATGCAGCAGAACCAGTGCAAACCCAGGTCTCCTCTTAAACGCCCTCCTCATTCTGCCCAGCTCCGCACACTGCGTCACATCGATCTTCCACCTTCACAGCCTTCGTACGGCCCAGACCAACCAACTTTACCTCTCCTTTCTCATCTGTAAACTGGGATAGTAACAGTGCCTGCCTTGAGGTGGGTGGGTGAGGGGTGGTGGGGGGTGGGGTTTTATTGTTATTGTTTAGTCGCTAAGTCACATCCGACTCTTTGCAACCCTATGGACTGCAGCCTACCAGGCTCCTCTGTCCATGGGATTTTCCAGGCAAGACGACAGTGAGTTGCCATTTCCTCCTTCAGGGGATCTTCCTGACCCAGGGATCGAACCTGCATCTCCTGTATTGCAGGTGGGTTCTTTACCACTGAGTCACCAGGGGAGGCCCTTGGGATTCATGTAGATAAATGCAGGCAGGTAAAGGCTGGCACAGGCTGGTACCCGAAACTGTGCAAGACTTTGCCCCCGTGTCTGTGTGGGAAGGAGGCCCACAGCAGATACAACGAGAGCAAAGCCCCTTTTAGAGGACTTTCGAGGTCCTCTCCCACCGCGTGTTCTCAGAGTAGATGACTGGGACTCCAGGTGTCTGTCTTCAACTGGGGTTGGCCTCTTGTCTCACTGTTGTTTTCTTTAAAGAGAAGAAAAGAGGAGGAACCTGGCAGACTGCAGCCCCTGGAGAGGCTGGCGGGAGAGGGAGGGGTCCGTCTCCCAGAAGGAGCAGGTGCCCCAGTGGTGGGCAGTGTCGGCTGTCACTCTGGGATTTCCCTTCCAGCCCAAGACCTGCACACTGGTCCGTTCATCACCTGCCTAGTGGCGGCTGAGACCGCTGTAGGGGTGGCAGGGGAGGCAACAAACAGGAGGTGTTGGCCTGGTCTCATGAGTCAGAAGTGAGACAATGGGCTTGACCTCAGCCAGCCCCATGAGCTGCTTACGACAGTGAGATGGTTCCGTCTCAGGTTTCAATTCCTCGCAGGAAGGAAAACTGCTTTGGAAGTTCGTTGGTGCAACGCTTTTGAATTTGATGAATTTGGGTTGGACTTAAGTTTCTCCCAGGAAGTCTAGGAGTCCTTGGAAAACTCCAGTCTTGTGTCAGCTGAGTCCAGAGCAAAGGATGAAAGTGGAAGGGTCCTTAACCTCCCTGGGCCTCAATGTCCGTGAAACCCAAGAACCAGGAAAGTGGTATCTAGGGTGGTCTCTGCCTCTGGCGTCCTTGAGGCCACATTTCCTTAAGTTGTTAACAGCTGGGTAGGGTGTGGGTGTGTGACCATTTATCTGGAGAACTGTCTTAGTCGGGGGGGCGGGCAGAGGGACAGGGTCCCGTGTGGCAGGGCAGGCGGGTGGCATTCCCTCTCTAAAGGCTGATGCATGTTTCCTCCTTGCCCAGTCACCTGTACAGGGTGTCCCTGTCTAGACAGGGCTCTCTGGGATGTGCCTGGAGAGGGACAGAGTCTTCCCTCCACCCCAGGAGTCTCAGCCACCAAGGAAGGTGTCAGGGACCTCAGAGGAGTGTGCAGACGGGAACACAGCAGGAGTCTGTGTTGCCCCGTTGTGTGGCCTGTGTAGGGACTGATGCTTCTAAAGGGGCCATCTGCCCAGAGAAGGTGGGTGTGCGTGGGCCCCACCAGGAGCTTGTGGGAGGAACTGACCAGTCCTAGCTCCTTCTTGGCCAGTGTGGTGGGAGAACCGGGGCACAGCATCCCACGTCTTCGTCAGGGCCTTTGTCAACACAGAGGGGTCTGGCTTGCAAAGTCCTGATTCTCTTTGCTGGGTTTCTCCCTGGGAGTGGGGGTTTCTCCTCTTGAGGAGGTCCCAAGACAGAACAACTCAACTCAGGAAGCCTGGTGACCCCTTGGCTGCCGAAGCCCCTGGGGAGTGAGGCAGTGCCTAGCGGTCTGGTGGTGAGATGACAGTCCAATGGGGAATGCAGGAGTGGCGTTAGGAGCCAGCCGTTGGAAAGCGTGGGGTTAGCATGGATCGTGTGGGTCACAGCAGGGCGGGACAGACCTGATGTCCTGGAAGCGACGGCCAAGCTGGTGGTGATGGTGAGAAGCGGGAGGAGTTGGGCAGGGCCAGCTGACCCCAGTGGGGAGGAGCTGACCCCAGTGGGGAGGAGCTGACCCCAGAGGGGAGGAGCCAGGGCTTCCAAAGAGGAAGGATGGGAGGGAGGACGGGCAGGAGCAGGAGCTGGTGTGTGGGATGCAGGGAGCCTGCGGGCGCAGCCACAGAGGAGACTGGTCTCGGGGGTCCCTAGTGAGGGTCAGAGGGATGGGAGGGGGTGCTCCCTCCTGCATCATGGCTCTGGGACACCCCAGAGATCTGGACTAGCCAACCTGAACTTGGAGTTGGTTCAGATTGACTTAGAGGCTCCAGGGGAGTGGGGCTAGAGAGAGAGGTGGGGGTGGGGGGTGATTCTGAGGAGGTGGGGGTGCGAGGGGAGGGGAGGGCACAGGAGTGGGGGCATGGAGGGGAGACACGGAGGGTAAGCCACAGGGGACCGGGAGGGTTGGGATGATGTGTGGGTGATATTATGCAAATTATGTGGGCAAAGCACTATGCGAAGCAGCACCTATTAGGGAGGAGGCGTTGGGAACTGCGTGATCCACAGGGGAGCCCCGAGGCCCCCGGGGCCCAGCTGAGACCACCTGCTCAGCCCAGAATCTCTCCCAAGGCCGGGCAGCCTGTGGGTGGGCCTTCATCTTGGAAGGGTCAGAGACTGCCAGGGCCCAGGCCCCCTGGACCCTCCTGTCTGCCCTGGACTGACCCCCTGGAAAAGGGGCGAGACCTCCAGACAACCTCAGGACCCGGAGCGCCGCTGGCAGACTGCCTGCCCAGCTTCTCTGGAATCCCCTCCATGCCCCTCTGAGGCTCCCTCTTCTGAGCCTGAGAACTGCCCTCTGGCTGGCATCTCCTTCCCAGCACCATGGTCCACGTGTGTCCCTCGGGGAACTGCAGATGGCTGAGCCCGGCCCCCTGCACGTCAGGGACTGGACAGTGCAAGGGTCACCCCTCAGCTTAGCCGGGGCACCCTGGAGGCAGCCCTGTGTCCCCAGGACCCTGGAGGACCTCGCCTGGGGCCCTGCTCTCGCAGGGAGCGGCCGCGGCCCATGGCCCTGGCGGTCCTGGCCGCCCCACCTTGCTCCTTGAGCCGGATGATCTCCGTGTCAGAGCCAAAGCTGTTCCAGGCGGTGCAGTTGTAGATGGTCTGGAAGTCGGCCCTCACGATGTTGCTGATGGTCAGCGTGGAGATGACGCCCTCCTCTGTGCTGACCGTCTCCACCGTGTAGCGGCCCGATGTGCCCGATTCCAGCACATTCTCCTTCCAGGACCAGGCCTGCCCAGGTGCACAGAATCAGGAGGTCATCCCCCAGGACCACCCGTCAGGACCACCGGGTGGCCTCCCCGCCCCTGGGTGCACAAGGCCAGGTCCACAGTCGTGATCACTGCCACAGAGCACACATCACAACACGTGTGCACACAGGACAGCATGCACACATATCACAACATGGACACACCCACCACCCCACACACAGACACACACACACATCACAACATGGACACACATCACAACATGGACACACATGACAACATGGACACACCCACCACCCCACACACAGACACAGACACACATCACAACATGGACACACATCACAACATGGACACACCCACCACCCCACACACAGACACAGACATATCACAACATGGACACACCCACCACCCCACACACAGACACACACACACATCACAACATGGACACACCCACCACCCCACACACAGACACACACACACATCACAACAAGGATATACACACCACTCCCCACACACACATCACAACATGGATACACATACCACACACACATCACAACATGGATACACATACCACACACACATCACAACATGGATACACATACCACACACACATCACAACATGGATACACATATCACCCCACACACAGCACGTGTGCACACACACACACACCACAATACGGATACACCCACACACACACACACAACATGGGTGCACCCACCACCCCACACACAGCACGCGTGCACACACACACACACACAACGGATGCACCCACCACCCCACACACCACACACACCCACCGACCCACATGCACGCATAGAGGCTGGGCCACCTCAGAGGGTGTTTCCATCGACAAGGGTCCCTACGTGGCTCTGGGTTGGAACGTTTTCCCTGGGGGAGCAGGGGGCCCTGGGGCAGCGATGGGAGACCCTCCTTCAGATGGTGCCCCTACAGGTGGCGAAGACCAGCCCCAGGCTGACTGAGTCTGGTTTTGTTACTCTCTATGTCTGTACAAAGGTTATGCTCAGAGAGAATCTTCATCTAGCTTGGTTTAGGATGGTGATGGTTTACTGATTCTCAGACCCATTTCAGGTACACTGTACCCCACCCTTCTTGTTGCAGCGTTCGGTAACAGAATGAGTGCTACGGGGTGGGGTAGATGAGCCCCAAGCCGCTTCCAGGTCACTCCTGGTTGCGGGGGGTGCCCTGGGCTCTGTGGGGGTGTTTAAGTGCATCCGACACCATCACCAAATGTTCCCCGGGGGTAGAACTCCCCTAGTTGAGAACCCCAGGCCTCGAGTCCCATCTCCATGAAGACAAAGACTGTGTGAACATGTTCAGGGGTGGACTGGATATTATCTACAATGGGACAGTGTTGGTAATGTTCCATTGACAATGAAACATAATTACACTTATACTTTAAAGTCAATTTAAAGAGCGAAAGGAACAGAGAAACAGGTGTTAGTCCTATGCATGAACTTTTGCCATTTTTGTGTGACTCAGAGTGAATGAGCTCAACCCTGAGGAAGTGTGTAACTGTAACAACGTCTTCATCTACAGGAGGACACCTTAGTTGTCGGGCATGTACCCCTGACCGCCACTCTGGCACCGCTGTCCCCGGGAAAGGTAAAGCTGCCCTGTGAACTTGAGCCTTCCGGCAGGACCACCCAAAACCCTGGGGCTTGCCTCTCTTTTTTTTCTTCCCCAGCTCCCGCCAGTTTCAGCTGAACTTGGCTGAAGACCCCACTTTTACAAAGGCAAATACCCAGGAGGGCCAGGAGTGAGCTAGTTGGGCAGCCTCAGCCGCACTGCCCTGCGGGGAGCAGGGTTTGGAGGAAGGGGGCAGGGAGAATGGAGTGATTCTTTTGCAGGGAAAACTTGATAAACGGGGCAGCGTCCTCCATGGACAGCCAAGCAGAGGAGGCCTCCGGAGGTTCAGAGAGGGGTCTGCCGACTATAACTGCTTCCTGTTTACGACTTTGCTAACGGCTGGCCTTGAACCCAGGAAAGGGAAGAGATGGTTTATCTTTTCCTTCTGCTGCCCTCTTTCCCCTCTGCCCTCAGGATGCAGAATGCAGTCAGAGGCACAGCTGAGAGGCAGAGTAGTTAAACATACCCACGGGTGAGGAGCACACCCCATCCTGAGAAAGGAAATGGCCCGTGACTTTTGTCTTCGTGACGCTTTCCCAAGGAATAGTTTTTCTCAATAAGAAAGGGAGAGCGGAGACGAGACTGACCAGCCAGATGGCCGAGCAGCTGCAGGCGGAGATGACCCACCAGACTGTCTGGTGTGTGTGTGTGGGGGCGGCTGTGCCCCTTGCTCACCACCCCCCCTCCCACAAGCCCGCCCCCAGGCACTCACGATGCGGTCGGGAGGTGGTGTGCTCCGGATGAAGCACTTGATCTGGCCCTTTTCCCCATGCAGGGCATGCTGGGTTTGGGTGCTGGAGATGATGGGGGGTCCTGTTGGGGAGACAGCATCATATCAGAGATTCGGGAGGGGCGGGCCCCTGGCTGGACCCCTTACGGCAAGTTCAGAAGTTTATACATCCATTCAGTCATTCGGCAAACATTTAGCAGGGGCTTCAGAGATAAAGGAGGCATCAGTCATAAACCTTTAAGGGGAAGATGAGTGAGCGAATGCCTCTAAATCAGGATTCCCAGAGACATGAAAAGCTGTAATAGAAGATGGTGGTGGTGATAGAAAGAGGTGAGGTTGACACCAGGCAAAGTGCTAACCGACCTCACAGGAGAGAGAAATCTACCTGGCAGGCGGGGAAAGCTTTATGCAGGAGGCGGTAAACCTGAGAAGGGAGTGGGGGAGGGGTCAGGAAGGAAGGAAGGAAGGTAATGTCACCTCCCCTAACTAAAGTCAGTTCAGTTCAGTTCAGTTGCTCAGTCATGCCCGAATCTTTGTGACCCCATGGACTGCAGCACGCCAGGCCTCCCTGTCCATCACCAACTCCTGGGGCTTACTCAAACCCATGTCCATTGAGTCCGTGATGCCATCCAACCATCTCATTCTCTGTCATCTCCTTCTCCTCCTGCCCTCAATCTTTCCCAGCATCAGGGACTTTTCAAATGAGTCAGTTCTCCGCATCAGGTGGTCAAAGTACTGGAGTTTCAGCTTCAGCATCAGTCCCTCTAATGAACACCCAGGACTGATTTCCTTTGGGATGGACTTGTTGGATCTCCTTGCAATCCAAGGGACTCTCAAGAGTCTTCTCCAACACCACAGTTCAAAAGCATCCATTCTTCGGCTCTCAGCTTTCTTTATAGTCTAACTCTCACATCCACACATGACCACTGGAAAACCATAGCCTTGACTATGACCTTTGTTGGCAAACAAGTCACCTCGGCTGTTGGATTTTAAGCCATTCCCTCATATATCCAGTAGAGGGCGCGTTCGCCTAACAAATCAGTGTCCTTGGCCGGACAGGCAAACCAGGCAGGAAGGGAAATAAAAGGTGTTCCTCCCCCAAGTGGGGAATTGCCCCACATAGATGGACTGGGCTGGGTACGTTCACAGTCTCCATCTCACAGGTGTCTCAGGAGATCCCTTAGTTCATCACCTTGTCTGCCTCCATGTGCATACCAGCCAGCCCAGGTGGGACCATGGCTCCAAAGCTGACCTTGATGTTATCATATCCGGCCCAGCTGTGTGCGGGTGTACAGGTCATGATCATGGATGTCCCCGGGGACTCCTGGCTCATTTACCACATCAGACAGCCTGGAAGGTCCACCAGGAATCCGGCAGTGCTACCTGTCCGTTTCTGCCTGTTTGCTAACCCAAGTCTCCCCTGCATGGTGCCCGCCTGGCAGTGAGATGGGGACGGAGGAGACTGGGGCTCCTGGCTGGGCTGGGCGGTTGAGGCGAGGGGTGCAGGGGCGTTAACTCTTGTGCCCTCTTCCCAGTCCCTGGGGTAAAGTTTGGGGCTTAGGTGGCAGGTAAGAGAACTAAAGCAAGGGACCTGGAGGGCGGGCAGATTTATGCTGGGAACAAAACAAAAATTGCTCCAAACATATTTGCTGTATATTAGCCACCTGAATTAAAGCAGATTTGCATTTCCACGAGTAGCTCTCAGCCAAGGGGAGAAACATCCTGGGAATCGCCGAGGTGACTCCTATTGCATTTAGGCTGGGAAATGGCTTGGCCCTGGGTGTGGGGGGGACCCTCATTATAAGGGCTCCCACCCTTAGGGGTTTCTCTCTTAGATCCCTCAGCTCCAAGAAGCCTTTGGCTTTTGAAAGGCAGGAGTGCTGCTGGGCTGAAAGTGATGATCCCATAAAACCTCTTCGCCTTCACTTCCCAGGAACTAGGATTTCCCTGGTAGGGGTGGGGTGGGGTGTCTTAGCTGTTCTAAAAGTGACCAGGAAAGACCCTGATGCTGGGAAAGATAGCGGGCAGGAGGAGAAGGAGGTGACAGGGGATGAGATGGCTGGATGGCATCACTGACTCAATGGACACGAGTTTGAACAAACTCCAGGCGATGGTGAAGGACAGGGAAGCCTGGCTGCTTCAGTCCATGGGGTTGCAAAGAGTCAGACATGACTGAGCGATTGAACGACAACGAAATGCGTACACATATAAGGGCTTCTTATAAGAAAACAGAAATCCGGGTAAGGGTAGACAGGGTTAGGGGAATTGGAACGCAGCAGCAGTATGCTTTCTATCCCGTTTCTGCAAATCCCAGGTTTGAGCCCAATCAGTCGAGATCTAGGCAAGTTTATTTCCCAAAAGGCGATGGCCAGCAGTAAGAACCCAGCCTGGGTGCCTTTGGTGAGAACCTCATCTCATTTGGGGTTTGTTGGTAGTGTGGGTCCCTTGGGTCCAGGCCCTTCCCAAAGGTCTTCACCATCCCTCCACCTGTTCTCCAGACACAAGTACCGATAAGTTCATTCCCAAGTCTACTCCAGTGTGGGCTGGCAGGGTCCTCTCTGCGGGCCATTTCATTCATCCCCCTGCCTTCTTGCTTCACTTCAGTCTCTTGGGTGTTTCCCTTCCTCGTGGCCAAGGGGAGCCTGTGCCAAAGGATTGGAGGCAGAGGAGGGGATTGGAAAGAAGGACGCTGGAGGGTACAGGTCATACCCTGGAGAGACCCCAGGGCCCAGGCTGGGGTGTCCCATCCAAGAGGAATGTCCCTCTGGATGTGTTGCCTCCTCAAGAAACTGCTTTGATGCTCATTGGAAAATGCTTGAAAGTCTGAAGTGACGCGCATTTCAGTCCCTCCTGTATCGACCATGCTTCCCCCAGACACGAGGATGCTCCTTGAAAAGCTTCAGGCTTGCGGGGCCACGTGTGAGTCTGAAGGTCCCCAGCCGGACTGGTCACAGGGCCATTGGAGCAAAGCTGGCTGCAGTCACGGGCCACCACGACTCCCTGCGCCCTCCCGGGGGGGTAGTGGGGAGGCCACTGATTTCACCAGGGCCTGGCGCCGGAGGAGCCGAGTGTCAGACACCGGAGCCGGCAGGAAAAGGCTGCAGCCCATGTTGCCATGGATATACGGAGGCGCGATCAGATGCTGTTATTTTTAGCCCTGCAGCGCCGATTTATTGGTGGCATCCTGGGGACACGTAGGAAAGGCAGGAAGGCTCCCGAGACCGGGTTCTGCCCGGGACAGACGGCTCTGGGGTCTGAGTGGATTCACCCTCCCTCTGGGGGTGGGGGGTAGGGAGGAGAAGAAAGAGGCTGGCTAAGGGGGACAGCAGCGGAGGGGCGGGGGCAGGGTGCGGTGAGGAAGCGCCAAGCTGGTTTGAGTTTCTAGCAAGGGGGAGGCCAGATGAGGCTGTCAGTGGGCAGCTTCCTGGGTCGAGAGGAAGCCACTCGGGCTGACTTCGGGGTCTTGGCTCAGCCCTGCGCCTGGGCCCTGGCCTGTAGCAGTCCCACAGAGTTGGGTCGGTGGTTCGGTTCTTGCCGGGGCTCAGAGCCTCCGGGCTTCGATCCGAGGCGGGCTATGTGGGAGCAGGGACTCACACAGAAACGAAACCCAGCAGAAGGAAGTTGATTGGAAACGCGGGGTCGGGGTGCCCTTAGCGTCCTCACCCCCTCAGACCAGCCGAGCTGGCTGCCGAGTGCACAGGACAGCAGGAACATGGGATTCCCATCCCGCTGCTCCAGCCTTCCAGGGTCTGACCTGAGCTAGGCCCCCGCCTCTCTTTGACTTCTGCATCCCGTGATCCAGGCCCTGTGCCCTGAACAGCTCACGTGACGGCTCTCTGGTAACTCAGCCTGTGTTCTCTCCTGCTCTGCTGTGACCCTACTATAGATAATAAGACCAGTTCCCTGCCCTCAGGGGACCCCTTGAACTTAGCCCTGTGGGGATGGTGGTGGGTCTTCCTGAGCAGTTCTAATGCAAAGGGAAGAGGTAGCCCAGGAGTCGCAGAGATGCCCTCTAAAATTCCCCACCAGGGCCAAGGTCAAGGTCAAAGGATGGATATGGGATCTACATTTGTTGCCCATTGACCCTCTGACCTCTTTCCTGGTCAGGAAAAAATCCATCAGCCATCACTCTTAGGGCTGAGATCTCGTGGAAGGAGCACCCAGGAGGGAGGTGACCAGGAAACCACCCTGGTCCCTCCTCACGTCCGGGCTGGGTTCTGACGTGGACTTGAAGAGGTGGATGGAACACTATAGACCCAGAGCAAAAATCAAGCCCTCGGAGCAATGCCTGGGACCCTTGTGGCCCACCGCCCCTGCCCTGGCATGAGTGAGGTCTTACCATTGACAGTCAGGGTCACCTCTCGCTCCCCAGCCCCTACCCGGGGCACCACGGCTCGGCACACGTATTTCCCCGCGTCCTCCTGGCGAACGGCTTTGAGGGTCAGGGTCTTCTCATTGCTCAGGACCTAGGAGAGGTGGAGAGGGTCGGACATCGGGGGTAGGGACTGGGCTCTGTCTGAACCAGAAGGGCTGAGAGGCAGGCAGGGGGGTGGTGGGGCTAGGTCTGCAGCATCTCAGCTAACAACCACGGGGTAAGGTAGGGGGCAGAATGTCTTATTACACAGCGTGCCAGGCGGACCGTCCTATGGGGGGAGCCCCAGCACAGAGGACCCTGTGAGGTTGAAGATGCTGCAGCCCTAAGCGGTGGGTGCAGGGGGGAGGCTGAAGTGAGAAAGCGCTATCCTGAAGCTGAGGATCCCCTGCAGGAGGAAATGGCAACCCACTCCAGTGAGAATCCCATGAAGAATCCCATGGGCAGAGGAGGCTGGCCTGGCTACAGTCCATGGGGGTCACAAAGTGTTGGACACATGCGAGACTAACACACTAACTTTTGGAGGGATGAGAAGGAAATAGGCTTTGGCATGCGATGTCTGAGTTGAGATCCCAGCTTCAGAGGTGCCTCCTTGTGTGGCTCTGGGCTCTAGTTCTCTTCTCTGTCCTTATCCCTATAATGGGGCGGTGACGCTCGGAGGACAGGGTGGTGTCCAGCACACAGTGGGGGACACAGAGGTCACTTTCCCCCTGCTTCCCTGCTTGAGGCTGTCACTGGTCCTCCTGGGAGGAGGGAGGTCTGAAACTTTTGGTACTTGAGTCGCTCAGTCATGTCTGGCTCTTGTGACTCCATGGACTATAACCTGCCAGGCTCCTCTGTCCATGGGGTTTTCCAGTATTCCAAGAATACTGGCGTGGGTTGCTATTTCCTCCTCTAAAGAACACATACACTTTAAAAGAGGAGAGGCAGGGAGAAAGCAAGGCTTAACCGCAAAGCTGAAGCTAATGACTATTAGGGGAAAGCTGAAAAACCTTTCTAGGGACTTTTCACCCCCAGCGTCTTGGTGACTACCTGCTTTTCTCATAAGGTTCACGGCAGGGCGAAACTGCGCTGGCTGAACGTGTTTAGGGCTAAGCGGGGTAGGTGTGGGTACCTGGGGCTCCCTCTCCCCTTTCTGGGGCCCCTCTTCCTACAGTTTACACGGGAGGCTCTCACCTCCAGTGTATGAGTGAGAGGCCCCCCTGGCCTGAGGTCCCCCCACCCCGCCAGGCTCTCTGCAATCCCGGCTGTGGACTCACCACGCCCGAGCCCCGCTTCATCCAGACGATGGTCAGGGACGGGTTGCCCGTCCAGGCGCAGCTGAAGACGGCGTCCGAGCCGAGGTCTACGAGCACGGACTGGGGCTCTGTGGTCATCCTGGGCCCAACTGCCATGGGAGGAGGGAGGAGATGGGGCTCTGGTGGGCGGGGTGGGACCCTCCTGTCTGCCCCTCCTCTGCCTGAGTGTGCGTGCCCCGTCCATCCACGCCGGCCCATTCCCTTACAGGTCAGTCCTCTACCTGTCTGGGCCTGGGCTGGGAGGTAAGCGGGAGGACCCCTCTCCCTTAGCCCAGCCTCCCTGGGGCCCGCTGGGGAAGTAGGCAGCTCCAGGTCCAGAAAAAGCTGCTCTGGCCCCACTTCTGCCTGGATTTGCCCCCCAGTGCTCTCCCATCCCCTTCCCTCTGTCCTGATCCCAGGAAGCCCCACCCTGGCCCCAGGGTTTGGACGGAGGGGCCTGCCTCCCACTCCAGAATCTCTGTCTGCCTTCAAGTCAACTGCCCATCTCCTTCAGGCCTCAGCAGGTAACCTGGAGCCAAGTTTCCCTGTGCACCTAGCCCAGCTCCTGGGCCACCGCAGGGCCACTGCAGGGCTGAGAGATAAGGAGTGGGGGACTCCAGGCCTCCTGTGCAGTGTCAACCCCCACCCCCCACCCCTCCATTATCCTCTATCCCGGCCCCGCCCCGCCTCCTTTTCAATCACTGAAGGGGAGGCCTTCAGGTCCTTTCCCCACACCCCTCCTGTTAATGGAGGCTCCCCTGCCCCCACCCCGCCCTAACCAGAAGCCCCTGCAGACAGAGCCTGGGTCCCCAGAGCAGGTGCAGCGGTGGGATTTCAGGGGCAGTGACAGGCAGGTGTGCAGAGAGCTGCCTTCAGAGAGCAGGTGTGAAACCAGAGTCCGGAGGCCCGCAAGAGTCCCCTGATGCAAACTGGGAGTCATTGTGCTTCCTGCTGAGGCCGGTGGCAGCGAGGGGGCCAGGAATACAGTTTGTAAGAGTGCTTCTGAATCTGTACAGGGTTTTGGATGAGCTGACGGTCAACGCTGTGAACACAGCTGAGGGCTGGCTCCCCGAGGGTCCCTGCCTGGCCAGCAGTGAGGATGGGGAGCCCCTGATGGGAGCCTGACCCATCTCGGTCCTCATTCTGCTGCTCATCTGCTGTGTGACCTCAGACTTCCGTCCCCTCATCTGGGTGCTGGGAATAAGAATTCTAGCCTCCCTAGGTGAGTGTTTAAAAAAATAGATTTAATAGTTTTTTTTTTTTTTTTGGCTGTGCTGCTGTTTGTAGGATCTGAGTTCCCCAACCAGAGATGGAACCTTCGCCCTCTGCAGTGAAAGCATAGAGCTCTAACCACTGGATGCCAGGGCAGTCCCCTCCCTGGGAGATTTTGAGGGTCAAGATAAACACGAGACAATAGGTGGGGACGTTTTCTGTAAAGGGCGTGGATTCCGAGCTTGGGAGGCATTCTTATGTCATGTGCAACGAGCCCACGATGGTGCCTCCAGCCGAGAGCGGAGACCAGCCAGAGCCTGTGAGCCAGGGAAGGCCCGAGCCACTCACAGTAGACGTCCACCGTGCGGCTGATGTTGGTGCTGCCCAGGGCGTTGGTCACCTCGCAGGAGACGGGCTCTGAGAAGTACGTGTAGTCCACAGTGGTCCGGTACACCTCCCCCGAGGCTTCCTTGATGATCTGGCCCCGCTTGGCCCACCTGCAACACAGGCACTGGGGCTGGTGCGGACCTCCCGCCGGGGGGGCAGGACACGTCCCACCCGCTGGAAGATGAGGCCTGGCAAGGGGCGGGGTGCGGCAGGCCTCCAAGGGGTCCCTTGGGGGAGCTTCCACAGCCGGGTTACTTCCGGGGCTTGGGAAGGGGTTGGTGGGGGGGTGGTGGGCTCTGGGCTGTGGGTCACCAGGCAGCCAGCAGCACTTGACTGATGGGTTATTCTGGAGGGAGGTGGGTTGACTTTCCAGTGGGTCTGCCCACGTGGCTGGCCAGGCAATGGTTAACCCAACCGCCAGACCCCAACCGCCAGACCCTGCTCTGAGCTACCTTGGGGGGGTCTAGTCCTGGACCACACTGGAAAAGAAGGCCAAGCCTGTGAGTGAAGAGGCCAATGTCTAGAGGTGTGTGCCCATTCATGCATGTACACCTGCACACACACGTGTACACACACGCACGGGCATCAGGAAGCTTGATTTCCAGACAAGACAAGAAGCTGATGGAGAGGAGACAGGTGTGGTCTCGACTGCCCACCCTCCTGCTCGGGCAGCTCTCCCAGTTCCCCTGTCCTGACTCCTGTCCCCAGCGTGGGTCCCATCATAGTGCCCCTCTCTCCCGAAAGCCCTTCAGTCCTCTCCCAGGCTGGTACTCACTCATGTTCCTCCACCCCCTCTGCCTCCCACCCCGGCTCTGCTCCTTGGGGACCTGGGCTGTCTCGGCACTGCTTTTATGGGACCAGGGGTTGCGAGGGTGATGGGAAGACAGCTCTGCTGACTTCTTTCATTGGCCAGTTGACTGATGGATGTCTTGGGCCTGGCCCTGGGGCCGTGATCACTGTCCTGGTGCGGCAGACAGCAGAGCACCCCAGGGGTGCGTGTGCCCGTGTGTGTGGGGCTGGGGGCCCTCCTTACAGCTGCGCGAGGAGAGAGAATCAGAGCTTTCCCTGGCTTACTCCTATCATGGTTAAAACTTTTTAAAAACACACTTCTCAACAGGCGCTTCCTACTGTAGTTCAGGCCTGTTTTGGGGTACATGTCTTTTTAAATTTTTTTGCTTTTGGCCACCGTGCGGCACATGGGATCTTACTTCCCCGACCAGGGATTGAACCCGTGCCCCCTGAAGTGTAAGCAGAGTCTTAACCACTGGACCACCAGGAAGTCCCTGGAGCGCATGTCTTTGCCAGGGCTCGGGAGAGTCCTGTTATCCCGGGACCACGACTCCAGGTAGCCACATTCTCAGGGCCTCCTTTCCTGGGGTCACAGAGGCCTGGCCCCTGCCCTTCCCTCCACCTGCTCCTGCTTAGCCAGGCCATCCGGCTCGGGAGGTGGCCATCTCCCAGTATCGCACAGAGCACCACGTTGACACTGTGCAGTTATTATCGTGAATTAATGTCAGATCGTTATTAAGAAGACAATTAATAATAACAATTACAGTTTAACAACAGAGCAAACCATAGCTCCCCGAGAGCTGAAGGAGCTTCCCAACAACCCATTATGAGTTATTCATGAATCATTTCAATCTCTAACTTTAATTTAATGACCACACTTAATAGTCAGGCACAGCTCCCACCTGAGGCGGATGAGTTCAGTCCGGGACACACAGTGGGGGATCGGCGTCCAGCCCCTGCTCTACCCACCCTGCAGCCGTGAGGGATGCTACGAGGAGGGGGCAGCCGGCGGGGCTAGGAGGAGACAGGTGAGATCCTCCTGCCCAGCCTGGACGCCTGCCTCTGGTTGCCCACAGCCCCAGGAAGCAGACTCTGCTGGGCAGTCCTCTTCCATTATTGGGGGCTCCTGGGGGAAGAGGGGGCTTTCTCCCCACCCGTCTGAGGTCCCTCACAGGGTGAACGCTCCCTACTGGGGCCCCCAGGAACTCAGAACAGCTGGGGCTATCTCTGGCCTGGAACTCAGCACTCCTGGCCACACGGGGCTCCTCTTCCCCAGACCAGACTGGCTTCCCCTCTCAGAGTCAAAGAAGGGAGACGCAAGAGACACTGGAGGTCTGTGCAGCTGCTGCTCCCAGCTCCCCAGGGCCGGTCCCCACCTTAGAAGTGGGGGGCGACTGAGGGGAACTCAGAGACAGTCTGCTCCCAGGGTCCCAGGAGGCCAGCTGTAGGGCTGGGTCTCTGGGGTTCACCCCATGAGTCCCCAGCTCACATTTCACTCAGCCAGTCTTTTTCTTCCCTGTCTTTATTCCCCTCCTGTAAAAAAAAAAAAAAAAAACAACCCAAAACAAAACCACAAAAACCCTCGGAGGGATCCCTTCCAGAAGCTCAACCCACTCACTGAAGCAGCAGGCCACGCGACCAGGGTGAGCCAGAGAGCAAGTCCCACCCTCTCCCAGCTCCCCTCCCATCTCCTCCCCTTCCTGTCCCACCTGTCTCATCTCCCCTGCCATCTCCTCCCCTCTGCTCCCATCTCCTCCCCTCTGCTCCCATCTCCTCCCTTCTCTAGTTTCTCAGCTTGGCCTCCTCCTCCTCTTTCCTCCAGTCCCTTCTCTCTCCCACCACCCACATGCCCGTCCCTGCCGCCACCACTGTTTTCACTGCCTCGCCCAGCCCCGCAGAACAGGAGTCAGATTAAGCTTTTCCCAATCAATGTGTAATTTGGCCCGAGCAGATGTAAGAGGATTAATTATTTATATCACACAATCAGGAGGCTGGCTGTCACTGCCAACAAGCTGTCCTCCACAGCCCCGCCTCTCACACTGGCTGGTAGACCCCCGCCCTGTTCCCTGCGTGGTGGGGTGGGGGCCCCGAGACCTCAGAGGGGAGCAGAGAGGCAGGCGAGACATGCTTTAGGTGTGCTTGACCCAGGCGGCTGGTCCAGCCAAGTGATGGCTGAGTCCGGTTAGACGGGCTCCCATATCCCCCCGGGGCCCCTTGCTGGGAGCTGGGGTGGACCAGGGCGCATCTCTGATTTCCGAGATCACAACCTCTTGTGTGAAACAGGAGGAAGCAATCAAGACCAAGGCGGAAGTTAAAAAACAAAGATCCCTTAGTCCTGTCCAGGTCAGTTGGGAAAAATCCATGTACTTAAGTGTTGAGATTGCTCAAGGCCTTTCCTCTTGGATCCCAACACCACGTTTAGAAGGACCATCTGCCTGCTGGGGGAGCGCTCTCAGAGGCCAAGGGGCTGAGTCACAGAGGGTGGGCACAGACACCTGCCTCCTCTCACCACCCGCTTCCTCCTGGGCCACCGGGGCTCCCCAACATGTCCCTGGAGGCCCAGAAGGGCTCCCTGAAAGCCTCTGGAGCCCTGGAGGGTGCCTGATCCGCACTGAAGCATTTTGGGGGCCTCTGGTGAGCTGGAGGGCCAGGAGGGAAGGAGGCAAGTAAGAGCAGGTGCACAGCTGTCAAACCTGCAGGGGACCCGCCTATGTCTCTGGCTCCTCCTCTGTGCCTGACAGTTGACCAGGCTCTGAGCTGCAGGAAGGATGGAGACGAAGGGAAACCACAGGGACCCAGAACCTGCGGAAACCTGCAGGTCCTGGCTCATTACCTTTGTAGTTAAAAACTAAACATAACTTTGTTATAGAAAAGTCACAAGACCGATCCAGGAAACCGCTGTACTCCCTTCGCCCAGACCCACCAAACGGGGTCAATATCTTGCCACATTTGCTTCTCGATGATCTCTTCAAATGTAGACTTATCCCTTATTATTGCCATGACATGAGGATGAATGTGGGTGGGTCTGCTTGGTAGGGTGTCCGCGGGAATGAAGGGGTGCCCAGGGAATTTGGCACGAGAGGTCGCTTCTGGGCATGCGACACCTGGTGTATAGGGCCTGTGAGCAGAGAGTGAATAGCAGAGAGGAGCCCGCCTGTGGACGGAGCCCAGGAATCACAGGTGCAGGGTGGAAGCCCAGAGAAAAATACAGACGCTTTGGGCGTCTCCTGCTGCAACTTTGCCATTGTCCCAGCCAAGCCAGACCTGCCCCCTGTACCCACAGGGCCACGGGACTCCAGGGAGCCTGGAGGACATCTGATCTTTCTCCTGCCTCTAGCCCGGTGAATGGTTAAACCCAGAGGACACATGGTTTTCATCCTATTTAAAAACATCCTCAAGGATAAAGACCCTGTGCTTTCCCTGGGCTTCTGGTTCCAGCATTAATTATCTGCACTACAGGGAGCATCGCCTGTGTCTAGCCTGAACCTAGCCTGAACCTCTGGCTGTTTCTTTGACCTGTTTCCTCAGGTTCGGCCCTCTGGGGCCACGCTGCCTCTCTTTGGCTCTGTCCTCCACTCCCACCAGAGGGCTTATTTCCTAGTCTGGGACCATCAGCATCCCTGGCACTGGGCGATGCTGGGAGTCTTATAACCATCTTAATGGTGGGGGGGACACCATCAGGTCTGGGCTGGGGGAAGGAGCAGGGCAGAGGTGAGGGCCGTGGCGGGGAGGGTCTGAGCGTGCCCTGGAGCGCCGCTGAGGCCACTGGCGTCTGGAAGTCTCGGGCAGTGGTGGTGCCCAGGCAGGAGGGTGCCCAGAGGGGCCGCTCTGTGCGTTTACAGAGTCGGCGAGCCCACATGCTGGAGCGCTGAGTTCCTGCCACACGAGCTCCACGCTGAGAGCGGTAAGTGACTAAACGGCAGTTCCTGCCTTCGAGAAGCTTGGTCAGCAGTGAGGCGTTCATCAGTGCGGCGAGCAACAGCTGCGGGGGGCCGTGGGCATGATGGATCTGGGTGCCTGATGGTCGGGGCCGGTGGTCCCAGAAACCCCACCCTGCCAGGGGACTGCTTTGGTGAGCACAGGACTAGAATCTGGGTCTGACTGACTGTGCTGGCTTGTTTTAGCTTTTTCTCCTGAGTCTCTCTGCTTCCTTTCAGAAACAAGGGGTAAAGAAGCCATGCAAACAGAAGGAGTGACGCCTTCTGTCTCAGAGGAAGGGAGTGTGTGCTCATGAGGAAAGGGCGAAGTCCACCTGGCCAGGGTGAACGGGTGTGCTGGGGAAGGGTCCCGGACACCCGCGGCAGACCAAGCACCATGCTGGATGCCTGGACCACAGGTCACAGCCCTGCGACAGGCGGGGGTGTCGAGGCGGCCTCCTCGCAGGGTCTCTCACCTGTACTGGGTGACCGCGGGGTTAGCCTTGGCAGAGCAGTGGAACGTGACCACGTTGTCCTCCAACACTGGCTGCGGCTCCACCGACAGGTTGACAAGCGGGGGGTCTGCGGAGAGAAGAGGTGCCCTTGCAGACTGCGGTGCTGTGTGCACCACGGATTGGGGGAACATGAGGGTAAAGGCCAGCAATTCCACCACCAGCAGCCACTCCCCCGGTGGTCCTCAGAAAACTGGGGGCCTCAGCAGGGGGCTCCCTCCGTCCCTGGAAGTGCCCGATTCAGGCCGTCCTGGCAGTGGGGTCAGGACTCCTGCTATGGATTCAAGTTATTGTTCAGTCCCTAAGTCATGTTTGACTCTGTGTGACCCCATGGACTTCAGCGCGCCAGGCTTTCCTATCCTCCACTATCTCCCAGAGTTTGCTCAAACACATGTCCATTGCGTCGGTGATGCCATCCAACCATCTTGTACTCTGTCGTCCCCTTCTCCTCCTGCTCTCAGTCTTTCCCAGCATTAGGGATGGATTCAAGGCTGGTGCTTAAATGAACAGCCACCCCGGAAGCAGAGCTGTCTGGGCCCCAGAGGGTGCCTGCTGCCTACCTTTCAGCTTTGGGTGAACAAACCACTGCCGGAAAGAGAGGTGTGAAAGGGCATTGCGGGGGTGGGGGGGTTGAGGAGGATGTGGATACTAAGTCCCTTTAAATACGAACTTTTCTGTCTTTGAAATGTCCATCCTGCGTCTCTCGGTGTAACGGTGCTGGTGCATCTGTTACCTTGGCACTTACAGCCTTCCCCGAGCCTAACCATCTCTGCTGAGTCCTGACGGGTGTCACTCAGTCCTCGGCACCCCAGGCTAGGGATGGATTCAAGGCTGGTGCTTAAATGAACAGCCACCCCGGAAGCAGAGCTGTCTGGGCCCCAGAGGGTGCCTGCTGCCTACCTTTCAGCTTTGGGTGAACAAACCACTGCCGGAAAGAGAGGTGTGAAAGGGCATTGCGGGGGTGGGGGGGTTGAGGAGGATGTGGATACTAAGTCCCTTTAAATACGAACTTTTCTGTCTTTGAAATGTCCATCCTGCGTTTCTCTGTGTAACGGTTCTGGTGCATCTGTTACCTTGGCACTTACAGCCTTCCCCGAGCCTAACCATCTCTGCTGAGTCCTGACGGGTGTCACTCAGTCCTCGGCACCCCAGGCGGGGCTCGCCTTTGTTCCTCAATACGGTGAAGCCCGGCTCTCAAGGGCAAAATGGTCAGAGGTGGAGGAAACAGGAAGTCAGAGAGGTAGAGAGAGACGGGGAGACAGAGACACACAGAGGTCATGCAGAAGGGAAGCGGGGGAGGGATGGGGGCAGAGAGACGCCTATGTAGGAGAGATGTAAAGATGAGGGAGGGAAGGAGAAGGAGAGAGATCGAGAGAGAGGGAGAAAGTGCAGAGGCAGAAACACAGAGAAGCAAAGAGCAGACACGGATAGGCTCAGAGAGAGACTCGCGTGTTCAGGGAGACACACAATCAGACAAAAATTTTAGACGTAAGGCCAAAAGACCAAGGGGGACTGAACAGATGGAGACAGAAGGTGATAAGGTGCTGGGGAAAAAGCCAAAGACAATAATGAGACATAGAGGAAAGAGACAGGATGATGAACAGTTGGAAACAGAGGAGGTGGTATCCACAGCAGAGATCAGAGGAGGGGGATCAGCCCAGAAAGAGACCTCGAGGTAGCCTGGCCCTCCTGAGCTCAGAGGAGGCCAGTTCAGGACCTGCTCTGAAAGCCGAGCATCCTTGAGCTCTGGGGTAGGTGCCCAGGCCTCAGCACCCCAGGCATCCATGTTCCAGGGGAGCAGAGACGACAGGCCTGGAGGTCTGGCTGGAGCTCAGCTCTAGGCTGGGTGAAGAGGGCAGCTTGGTCCCTGTGTCCTAGTCAGGCCCTGGGGCCAAATCTTCTGCTAAACCTCATCTTTAGGCACAGCTCTGTGCTGGGAGGGCAGGAGGACTTGCTGGGGGGTTCACTCCGTTTTCAGAAAGAGAAGTAAGAAAGCTGGTTTCTCAGAGACCATCTGGAAAATGCTGACCCTCTCTGGGTGCATGTGAAGGGCACCACCGGCGGGGAGCAACACTGCAGCTGCCTGGCCCAGCTCCTGGTTGAGACGACAGAGGGATCCCTGAGCCCCTCGAGTCAACTGCGCAGCTGCCCAGCTACAGACGGAGCCTCACCCACCCCGGAGTTGGGATTGCTTGGCAGTGTGCCCTCCCTGTGCCCTGCTGGTGTTCAAGCTGCCTGCTGGGGTGACGGGCTTGGGGGGAGATGACCCATAGGGCTGCACTGGGCTGTGTGGACAGCTTGTTAAGACTCGGGAGAGAGTGCTGATTCCTGACAGCAGCAGGTGGTCGGCCAAGCTGGAGCTGTTCTCCCCACATCCGTTCTGGACGGGACCACAATTCTGGGAACGTCTCCTATGGCTTGCTTGCCTTTTCCTGGAGAGTTAATTGTGGGGAAGTGTTGGCTACTTCAGTGACCTCAAAGTTGGGTTTTATTCATTTATTTTTAAATAGGAATTATTTCAATAAAATTTTGTATGTATTTATTTGGCTGTGCTGGGTCTTGGTTGCTGCGTGGGCCTTTGTCTAGTTGCAGCGAGTGGGGACCACTCTCTAGGTGCAGCGCATGGGCTTCCCATTGTGGTGGCTCCTCTTGCCACAGAGCATGGCCTCTAGGGTGCGCGGGTTTCAGCAGTTGTGGCATGTGGGCTAGGCAGTTGTGGCTCCTGGGCTCTAGAGAGCAGGCTCGTAGTTGTGGTGCAAAGCCTCAGTTGCTCTGTAGCACATGGGATCTTCCCGGAGCAAGGACTGAACCCACATCTCCTGCCTTAGCAGGCAGATTCTTCACCACTGAGCGACCAGGGAAGCCCTCTGCATTGGTTTTTAAAGCGTGATTCCAGCGGACCCAAAGATGCGTGGCCAGGACTTGCTTTGAGAGCTCTGCTCCTATTTCCCAAGACAGCTACACCCCCAGAACCAAACAGCCTCCTCCTGGCTGTTCCCCATCACCTGAGTGGGCTGTCTGCTGGCCCACCCAGCTGAGAACCAGGGCTAGTTCCAGAGCCTCTAGAAACCAGCCACAGAACGTGCAGGGCAGCTCCAGGAGGCCAGTCCCCACCTGGCTGTCCTTTATAAAGTGATGAGACTTCCAGGGACAGAGAGACAAAACACACATCTGCTGGAGGACCTTCCGGCTGTCTGCTCCCTTCCCCTGCTCTCCTTCTCTACTACTGAGCTGCCCGTCTCAGTTATCCTGTGGACGCCTGTCTCCAGAAGCTTCCCCATCTCTTTGCAGCATCCACGGCACCCAGGAGAACAGGCTCCCCCTACACCCCGGGAACCTTCCACACTGGCCGGTCTCATCTGAGCCTCCACCCCAGGCCCAGAGGTGCCACACCCCTCTCTTCGCACTTTCCCTCTGCATGTGCAGGATATGAATTTTCAGAAGTCCACCAGGCTCTGGAGGTATAAATAGTTTATGTCATATCCGACTATTAAACATGGTTTTAATCCCATTTGTGATGTCGGTTGCATAACTTGCAGGGGGGCAGCTTTGATGTAGCTGGCGGAACTGAGATCGCACTGAACAGATGTTACAGCTGAGAGTCTGTTAGAGTTTCCATCAGCAGCCTGCCTCCGCACACGCGTGTGTGTGTGTGTGCGCGCTCGTGTGCATGCACGTTCAGGGGAAGTATTACATCCAGGAAGGGACGAGAAAGGAGAGAAACTCCATGACTCAGTGATTTTATAGCACATCCATTTGAAGCTTGGCAGCTGGATGCAGAGTCCAGATGCAGCAAGACTTTGGGGGTGTTAAGCTTTCTCTCCCATTACTCAATCTGGGGGCTTTGTCTTCCGTTGGGTAACATCTAAAGACCAAGGGAAACAAACAACAAATGTGTTTTTGCTGAGTTTGGATGCTTCTTGGTTGACTGAGAAAATGAGCAGGTTTGCAAAGGCAGCTCTGATCCAGCCTGTGGTGTCCACAGTAAACAGCTGGATGCTTACTGAATGAACAAAGGGATGCGTGGGGGGGAGGGCGGAGAGCAGGAGGGAGGGGGCAGAGAGAGCCTGCTCTTTTGCTCAGCAGGCGTGAGTAGGCACCTTGGGGAGAGGGAGACGAGTGGATGCAGACCTCCCCTCCCTGTGGGGGCTGGGTTCACCGGGGAAGGGCAGCTGCACCCCCATGACAGGTGCTGGGTGCTGCACTGGGGTCGCTGCCCGAATGATTAAACTGAATCCTTCCAGCCAGCATACGAGCCAAGCACTGTTACCTCCATATTCAGATGAGGAAACTGAGGCACAGAGAGATTAAATAACCAGCCCAGCGCCACTCAGTAAGTGGCAGAGCCAGAATTCCAAACAGGAAGGATGCTGAGGCTTTATCCATGACTCCGGACTGCCTTGGATGGGGCCCATCTAGGAAACCAGGCACCTGGATTCTCGGCTTCACCTTGACCTCATTCCTGCTGCCTCCCTCCTGGGGTGGCTGAGATGTCCCTGGAAAGAAAGCCAGTGAGGCCCAGAGACTTGGCAAGGCTGGCATCCTCCTCCGGGGCAGACTGTCGTCTGTGTGTCCTGGTAAATCCATCATGGCATTAGTGCACGTTCAGAGGAATGTGTTTTAATAGTTGGTGGGCTGTTGTCATGATGATGGCTTTCTTGTTGACAGAGTGGTTCTGCTTTGTGACGCAGAAACATAGCTTCCCCCCAAGTCTCTCCTGCCAGGACCCAAGAGCCGACCCGCTGGGTTCTTCTGTGGGGGTTCTGTGGCTGGCACAGGCCTCCTGACCAGCTGGGTGGGGGGTGGGGGGCGACGACGGAGGGGCTGCACAGTGGCCACGACAGGCAGCCTGGTACAGGAGGCTCGGATGTCTGCGGCTCTCATGCTCATTCCTCCCGGATTTGGCTTGTGTCTGGAGAAACCTCTGATTCATGGTCAATCCCAGGGCAAGTAGAGACCTTGGACGTCTCTCAGTCAAATGAGACTAGGAACCGGCGTCCCCTGGGTGACATGACCAACTCAGGCCCACACAGCTCATGGGTGGTAGAGCCTTTCTGGGCTGTAGACTACCCCATCCCCCCACATCTTGCTTTCTTTCTATAGTTGGGCCTGCGGCTTGATGCCATACCTGCGACACATAAGAAGCGGGTGGGTGTGGACAGTGGGGCCTGGACTGGGGCAGGGGGAGGAGACATTCCTCCCAGGGTGACCTTGAACTTACACGACCTTTAAAGCGAGAGCCTCCCTCCCATCACCCTGGTCCTTGGCCTGCCCAGAGCCCTGGTGCTCCTGGCTCTTATTGGATGGGGAATGGAAGAGCCTTCTTCTTGGTGTGGATGGAGGTAGAGGGGGGTTTAATAAGCTGGTGAAGATGGTGAATACAAAACCAAGGATCGAACCCATGCCTCCTGCAGTGGAAGTGGAGTCTGAACCACTGGACCGCCAGGGAATCCCTGGTGATGTTTTTAAGGGGATTGTCTCACCTGTGACAGTAAGAAGGATAAAACGGTCCTTCGGGTGCCCAGACAAACCCACTAGTCCCTAGGATTGATGGACCCAGGTCCTGCCACCAGCCGTCCTGCAGGGGCCTGGCCCTGTCCTTCCCCCGACCTGTGCTCTGGGCAGGTGGCCCCTGCCCCCGGCCAGGTTAGTACTCACGCTGGATGTCGATGGTGACTGAGGTCTCCTTCCCTCCGGGGATGGCTTTGTTGGTGGCCCGGCATACGATGCTCTGCCCGTTCTCCACATCGCCGGGGGAAATGAAGAGGGTGCTCACGATGCTCTCACGCTTGCCATCTCGGAGAAGGGTCTATGGGTCAGGTGGGGAGAAAGAAGGCCCCAGGTCACTCATCACTCATCACTGGGACAGCTGGGCAGGTGAGGCAGGACACGCGCCAGCCTCGGAGAGGAGGGAGGAGCGCTGTGGATAGAGGTAGGTCAGCTCAGGACACCCAGGGGTGCCCATCTCCATGCAGAGCCACAGGTCACGCTTGGCACCCTGGCCCGACTGAGCGCCAGGCTTCAGGAAGAAAAAGGAACTGGAAAGTGACTTGCCCACCCAGACACAAAAGAAACCAGCTTGGGCTCAGTGGAAACCAGGCTGCCGGTGCTATGTAGAAATGAACTTGTAACTATCCTGCCTCTGGTCTGGGGGTGACCCTGGGTCTGCAGGGAGCGCTAAGACAGGGAACAGTCAGGTGCTGTGGCCCCGGGAATGATGCTGGGTGCAGAAGGGTGCACAGCTGGGGGGTGGGGGGTAAAGGCAGGGCTAGGGTGGAAATGCGTGAAGAATCAGCACACACTGACCATTTCATTACTTTACCTGTATAAACTCTCTCAACTTTTCAATCATTTCACTACCAGACCTCACTGGAGCTCAGACTAAGCCACAGACACGACAGGTGCCATCATCTTTCATTGAGCAGTGGAGAAAACAGGTGTGATCAAGAGAGGCTATGGAGCTTGATTAAACTCACTTTGAGTTGGTGGCGGCGATGTAAGCAACAGGATCCTGGAGTGTATTGAAGAGCATCCGCCCCAATTCATGACCACCCAGAACCTCAGAATGTGAAACTATTTGGAAATGGGGCCTTCACAACTTAGTTAAGTAATTAGTAATTAGATAAGGATCTTGAGACAAGATCACCCTGGATGTAGCATGGGCCTTAAATTCAATGATGGGTGTTCTTGTAAAAAGAAGAAAAGACAGGGAGACACAGGAAGGAGGTTGTGGCAAGGAGGCAGAAACAGGAATGATGCTGCCACAAGCTCAGGAAAGCCAGGAGCCCCTAGGGCCTAGAAGAGGCTAGAAGATTCTCCCTGGGGACTTTGGAAGAAGCACAACTCTGCCCACGCTTTGACTTCAGCGTTTTTGCCTCTACAAGCGTGAGCCAATACATTTTGGTTGTCTGAAGAACCAAGTTGTGGTACTTGGTTCCAGCAGCCCTAGAAACTAACGCAGGCCTAAAGGTCCCCTGTCTTCCTCTTGACCACGTGCTGATTCCTCATGGCAGCTGTTCTCCTTCATTGCCGGTACCCACTCCCCTCGTGGAGACCGCTTCCAGCTACTGCCCCATCAGTTTGGTACCCTGCACCCTTGACTCCCTGGTGGCCCACGAAGGTGGGTGCCCAGTGGGGAGGTGCAGTGGGCAGCAGGGCCATTTCGGTTTGGGGTAGGGGCTGGACTTGCTCAGTACACCCCAGGAAGGAACTTGATCTTATTTTCCCAAGATTGGAGCTGAGGAATAGATGGACAGACTCTACTCCCTCAAAACCTCCCTGAAAATAACCACAACATCGTCTCACAGGACCCTGGAAGGAAGGGAGCCTTGTCTCCCAAATAACTGGAGAGAAAACTGAGTTTAGAGTGAGCCAGGAACTCATTGGGCAGGGCAGGGATTTGCATAGGAGAATGGTGAGCCCTGAGCCTCAACTTCCCCACCGCAGCTTCCTGAGGACCTGTAAGCCAGCCGGGCGGCGTGATCCCCTCTTCCAGGAGGTAACAGTTAGCAGATTAAGTAGCCTCCCTTTATTAGTGACATGTAGGCAGCTGGGGGCTTCCCCAGTGGCTTGGCTGGTAAAGAATCCACCTGCAATGCAGGAGACCCTGGTTCGATTCCTGGGTTGGAAAGATCCCCTGGAGAAGGGATAAGCTACCCACTCCAGTATTCTTGGGCTTTCCTGGCGGCTCAGATAGTAAAGAATCCATCTGCAATGCAGGAGACCTGATCCCTGGGTGGGGAAGATTCCCTGGTGGAGGGCATGGCAACCCACTCCAGTATTCTTGCCTGGAAAATCCCCATGGATAGAGGAGGCTGGTGGGCTACAGTCTATGGTGTCTCAAAGAGTCGGATATGACGAGCGACTAAGCACAGCATCGTGCAAGCAGCTGGATCCCGACTCTGGGTCCTCAGTTCAGTGGCCTGCACTAGGGGAAGAGGCCCGGAGCCTCCATCTAGGATAGCTCATCCAGCTGTAGACAAAGCCAGACTCAGATGTGGAGACACTCACAGCTTTTCTCCTCTGCTGGAGGAAACCGCAGGGGCCCAGGCCTGCTCTCATCCATCTTCCTTCCTGGGACGTGGGGTGGGAAGGGGGAGGGTGGCCTCAGCCCTGTGGCAGAGGGATCCGGGCGAGAGCCTGGGGGAGGGTGTCGCGGTCAGTTGCGGAAGCCGGAGGGCTGAGTGTCTGGAGCTCAGCCTCAGGCCCAGGGTGCTAATCTGGAGGCTGGTCCCAGGGGTGGTGTCAGAGTGGGCGTGGCGTCAACCGGCCCAGCCGGAACCTCTCCGCTGCACCCTAGTAACCGGCGGGCTCCTGGCTTTTCAGCAGACCTCACGCGTCTATAAATAGCCAAGCGATAATAAGCACAATTTCCTGGATGAAAATAAGACCGCGGGGTTGGGGTAGGGGAGGTGGGGAGGAAGATCCTATTGTTCTTTCCCGCTTTTCTTTTCTTTACTTTTCCTTTGTGCTAACTAGGGACATTTACATAAATTTTAGTCTGCCAGGGTACCCTCGGATTGATCTGCTCGTGGGGTGCTGGGGAGCAGGGCCATCTGGGTGCTGGTAGGAGGGGAGTCAAGGGCCCAAGCTCCTAATTAGGCCCCTGACTGCTGCCCGCTCCCGGCACCCAGAGCGCTCCTCGCCCGGAAAGATGATTAATGACATATTTACTGTGTCCGGGCGTGTGCTTTTCTGGGAAATAAAAATTCTGGTTCAAGTTGTTTGTTCCACCTAATTAGAGATGGGGAGATGTGTTCATTAAACCGGGGGAGGGCACAGCGTCCGCTCCCCAGGGGAGGACCCCTCCTAGCTCCGGTGGGGGGTGGTCTGTAAAGCTTTCATGGTGTTGGGGTGGGGGAGCAGAAGTCGGGGCAAAGGAGGAGCCTGGGTCTTCTCACCTGATTTTCCTCCCTCCCTTGTTCTTTCAGCAACTCCTCGCCTCTGCTTTCTTTCTCTTGTCTTTTCCTTCACGCCTGGCTTGTCAACCTCCCCCCTTCTCACATGCAAATGAAGCCCTGGGACCTCCGGGGTCCAGGCCAGGTAGACACTTTCTGATTTTGTGATTCCTGTCACAGCCCCCCTTTCCCTGTTCTCCTGCCCCTTCTCCGGCTTCCCTCTCCTGAACTTGGCTCTGGGGACACACAGGGCCCCAGCACCCCCACCTCCTGCTTGAAAAACCTTCATTAGCACGCCCTCCCCCAGAGGGTAAGTGGGTTATTAGTGGTGAGTCGCTCATTTCTGGGGCCACCACCTCCAAGTCTGGGGCAGCGCTCCCTGCAGCTTGGCGGGCACTAGTGTGACCCTTACAGCCTCTCCTGTGGGTCCCACCTGTGTCTGCAAATATGGACCAGGAGTGGGCCAGAGTATATACCTCATCTGCTCAGGGGTGAACATGCCAGGCCAGGGGTCTGCCTGGGTGTGTGTCCACTGGCCTCTGACTCACTAGCTTCCATAGAGCTTTCCCCACTGTCCCATTGGCTTAGGGCTGATCTCTAGACCCTGCCTATCCTGCTCTGCTTTCTGTTTGTGCATCCCCCCATCACCGATGGCAGGCACCTGGCATTCAACCAGCAGTGGTAGTTGGTGAGGGGGGTGCTGGGCTTTCTGGGGGGAGGAAGACTGCACCGCGTGTAAGGTTGTCCAGTGTGGGCTGCTGCCCCCAGGGCTTCAGCTGGGCAGTCTCCAAGGCCAGAGGTGACCACTGGTGAGGGAGGAAGGAGATTTGGAGGGAGCCTAGTGGGTGGATGCCCCCGGCTTGGTGCTAAATCTGGGATGTTCATTGATATGCAAACAGCCTGGGAAGGGCTTGAGGGCCCGATTGCCTGGCAACAAGGCCCCCTCTTCTCCCTCCTCATTCACCTCGCCCACCTGCTGTGTCCCTTAATTTTTCTTTTCTTTTTTTTTTTTTATCATCTCTCTTTGCTTCCCCTTTTAAGGCTGCCTGGGGAATCCACTGGGGCTTGTTATCACTAAGGGCTGTCGGAAGGTGGAGATTTGGGCGGTGCTTTCTGCCTCCAGACCCTGTGTCCTCACGGACTGACCCCTAGTTTTTCGTCCTGGGGCCAGGAGGGATGCTCTTCACAAAGAAGGCCAGGATGAGTGGCAGCTGGGTAGAGGCTCCAGGTGCCTAGGATGAACAGATGGATGCAGGGGGTGGGGGATGCTACGGGGACGGGTGGGGACAGAGTGCAGAGCTGAGCCGCAGCGAGGGCCCTGAGAGGTGTGGTGCCAGAGAACTCGTACGTAGCTTGGGCTCTAAGTCTGGTGGTCCTGGTGGTGGTGGGTGGGCACTCCTGGGGCAGGCAGCAGTCTGAAGTTGGAAGAAACAGAGGTGCAGAGCTGGAAGGTCAGGGGCCTCAAGGCAGACATGTACAGGTCTGTGGACATGCAAGGTCAAGCGACCCTCCCCCTGTCCACCATTTCAGGGTCAAGGCCTCCACCTTCCACCTGGTGGCGGCTGCTGGGGAGCAGCAGATGGAGCAGGAACCTGGCTGGCAGGGAAGGCTTTTCTCTGGTCTCAGCACAAACTGTCTTCCTTCCTCTTTCACAACCTGTCCTGCCTCCCCGGGTCTGCCTTCCAGATGACCGCCACGTGGCCTCCATTCTGGTGCCAGGCCCAGAGAAGACGGCCTGAGGCTGATGTCCAGGAAGAGAGGACTTGGAGAGATGGCTTTTCATCAACTCCCGTGCTTCTGCAGCCAGACACCCGCTGGGAGCCGCGAGAGCTCACCCAGGCACCTGGGCCTCGAGGGCTCTGGCTGCCCTGGGTTCAGGGAGGGGGGTCGGGGGCTGGCGGAGCACCCTTCCCCTGCAGGCCACACGGTGGAGCAGCAAAAGGAAACCTGGGCTTCTGAGCGACCTCTGGGTGGGGAGAGCAGGGTGGAGGAGACAGGGCTCTGGGAGGAAGGAGTCAAGGATGCTAACTAATGTTTACAAAGCCCTGACTCTATGCCAGGTGCTTTACAGAGTACTTTCAATGCACTATTCTTTTTTTTTTTTAATTTATTTTTGGCTGGGCTGGGTCTTCATTGCTGTGCATGGGGCTTTCTCTAGTTGCAGCGAGCAGAGGCTACTCTCTGCTGCGGTGCTCAAATGCATTATTCTTAAGTCTCGCAGCAATTGTAACAGGTGTCCATATTACATGGATACCTGTTATGTCATAATACCTATTATCATCATCCCATTTTGCAGATGGGGAAACTGAGGCAGAGATCTGATGTTACCATGACTTGTGATGGAGCTCAGGTGTGAACCAGGTTTGTAGGACCCCCAAGGCCTGCTGTATGATGACACTAACACTCTCACACAGGAAATGCGCTGTGCAGATCCAGTGAGGGGAGGCAGTGATCCTAACAGTCATGCTTCCCTCTGCTCATTCAAGCTTCATGACCATCCTCTGAGGCAGGTGCCATTGGTCCCATTGTACAGATGGGGACCCTGAGGCACAGCAAGGTTAGCTAGCTTGCCCATAGCCACAGAGCTAGACGGTGGTGGAGCCTGGATATGGGCTTCCCAGCTGCCAGGCCCAGGGGCTTAACTACTCACCGTGAAACAGACGCTGAGGCTTCAGCCCCAAGGGCTGTCAGGGTGGCCCCGTGGGATTTTTTTCTGTAGACGGTGAATCCTACTTGACTGTTGCACATGTGTGTCCTCTCAGCCTCTCTCCCTGTCTCTCCGTCTCTGTCTCAGCTGCTCATGCCCCTGGCCTCTTCTCTTGCACAACCAAGAGATGTTTCTCCGCCTTTGGGACATCACAAGTGCTGAGGTCAATGGCACCTGCACTCCTGGGGGAGAGGGAGCCGCAGAGGGCTGGGCTCTGACAGCCCCCAGGGCTGAGTCCATGGGAGCTGTGGGGTCGTCCATCCTTCTCCGTAAGCCCAAGTCACAGGTCTATAGCTTGTCAGAGCTGCCAGGCCCCTGACAGAGCAATATATATATATTGCTGTGCCTCACAGTCCCCATCTGTACAAGGGGATCAATGGCACCTGCCTCAGAGGATGGTCATGAGGCTTGAATGAGCAGAGGATATATATATTCCCCCTAGATTTCATAGGGTGAAGCCCTGAACCTCTCTGGAGCATATTTGGACATGGGGCCTTTATGGAGGCAGTTTAGGCTGCACGTGTGCTAAGTTACCTTAGTCGTGTCCAACTCTGTGCGATCCTATGGACTGTATCCCACCAGGGTCCTCTGTCCATGGGATTCTCCAGGCAAGAATACTAGAGTGGGTTGCTGTGCCCTTCGCCAGGAGATCTTCCTAACTCAAGGGTCCAACCCGTGTCTCTTAGATCTCCTGCTTTGGCAGGCAGGTTCTTTACCACAAGCACCACCTGGGAAGCCCTTCAGCTCACAGCACCTTGTGTGAACTAGAGAAAAGCACCCCAGCAGGTAGGTACAGAAGGTTCAGGGCTGGTAAGGGATTATGGGCTGCATTCAGCCCTCCTTGACCCCTGAGCCAGGTCCCTGGGACAGGAAACACCTAAACAGCTTCAGCTGGCAGCACTGGGAAGGTGGGCAGATTGAGCAAATGAGAATACAGACATCAGTTAAACTTGAATTTCAGTTAAACAATGAATACTCTTTAGTATAAGCATGGCCCATGCAATATTTGGAACATACTTACACTGAAAAGTTATTTGTTGTTCAGAATTGATGCTTTTGAACTGTGGTGCTGGAAAAGACTCTTGAGAGTCCCTTGGACTGCAAGGAGATCAAGCCTGTCAATCCCAAAGGAAATCAACCCTGAATATTCATTGGAAGGACTGATGCTAAAGCTTCAATCTTTTGGCCACCTGATGCAAAGAAACAACTCATTGGAAAAGACCCTGAGCCTGGGAAAGATTGAGCGCAGGAGGAGAAGGAGGCGACAGGATGAGATGGTTGGGTGGCATCATCAACTTAATGGACATGAGTTTGAGCAAACTCGGGGAGACAGTGAAGGACAGGGAAGCCTGGCGTGCTGCAGTTCATGGGGTCGCAAAGACTCGGAAACGACTGAGCAACTCAACAGCAAACCTGAGATTCACTTTTAACTGGACGTCCTGTATTTTATCTGGCAGCCCTCAGCTCTGGTCACCTCTGTCCCTGAGTTGCTTCCTCTGACCATACTCCATTCTTAGGGTAGTCACCACGCCCAGCAATTCCCCCAGGAAAGAGAGGAAGAGGAGGAGAGACAGAAAAGGTCGCATAAGTAGAGCCAGAGCACTCGAGAGAAAAAGTGACAGAGAGACAGAGAAAAAGAAAGACACAGAGAGACAAAGAGCTAGGAGCCAAAGGCGACACGAAGTCACACAGGCAGAGCAAGAGCTGCCAAGAGATGGGGAGAGCTGCCCCTGCCCCCGGCTTCCTCCTCTCCTCCGCAACGCCCCCCAACCCTGCCTCACCTTGGAGTAGGTGGCTCCGTTGATCACCTCTCCCTTCCTCAGCCAGATGATGGAGGCAGCAGGCTTGGCATTGTCTGCATGGCAGGTGAGGTTGAGGGGGTCCCCAGCCCGCAGGCTGATCACAGGGCCCCCGAGGATCACCGGGTCATCAGGCGGCACTGCAGGGAGAGAGAGAGGGGAGAGGTCAGGCTGAGGGCACCCCTCCTCTCGGGCAAGGCTGAGTGGATTTTATGGAGCTGCTGACAAACAGTAATTATCATCCTTTAATAAAATGTATAATCCCCTTGTATTATAACAATAACAGTGATGACAGCAGTAATCCTGACACAGGCGTCGCGTGTTTATTTGCAGAGGACGCTCATGTCATCATCTCATTCCGCGCGGCAGCCTGCGAGGGGACAGGGCAGGCGTCATTAGCTGCGATTTGCAGATCGGAGAGCGTGCCACTGCTGCCTGGATCCTATCCTTCTTTCTAACTTCTCTCTTTTAAAACAAAGCCCTGTCACATCTGTCATCTGATTTAATCCTCACCGCAGCCTTGCGAGGTAAACATCATTATCCCAATTACTCAGATCCAGAAACCGAGGCTCAGTGGGATTAAGTGACTTGCTCAAGGTCACACAGCGGCTGAGTGGAGGAGGCCAGGGCTAGAAGCAGGTCCCCCGACACTTGGAGCACCAGGCTGGCCGCTTCTCTCGCAGGAGACAGGTGACAGGCAAACTTTCCGGGCTGAGACAGAGTTCCAGAGAGCTGTGCAACCCTGGGCATCTCCTTTGGACCTGATTCTCCCAGAGCAGTTCCAACTCCCTCCTCCCAGAGCCGGAATGAATCTCTCCTGCTTGGTCCTTCCTCTCTATTTCACGGCTGTGTGGTCCCCGCTGAGAGATGTGGGCTGCCAGGGGGAGAGTGACGCCTCCCACGGAGCCCAGCTCAGGGTCCGGTGCCTGGCGGAAGCTCCATAAACATTTGCTAAAGTGCAATCACGTCTCTGACCCCCGTGACAACCACGGGACGCTGTGTGGTCGCTGATAGTGATGGAAGACTACTGTTTGGAGAAGGGGCCCAGAGCCGCTTCTGAGGTTCATCCTTGTGGACCTCAGGGTCCACAAGGGGCTCGAGGGTCTCAGGCCCCTGCTGCGCCCTGCCTCTCCTTCCTGGACAAACCGGAAGGGGCAGGGTGCTCCCTGGAGACCGCCTGACGGGTCCCTGGTCTCCTCCCTGGGAAGGGGCTGGTCAGTCAGTTCTGCAGGCCTGAGGAGGCCTGAGCTGGGTGTTTGCTCAGTGAATGGATGACGGGGTCGTCAGGTGAGAGCTGAGGTCTTCAAGCAAAAGGACTTCTTTGTCCAGTCGTGAGAGGAAGTCCATTCTGCCACTCGGGCCCTAAGCGAGCTTTTGCATCTCTGGGCTGAGGCAGCAGGCCCTGCTCACTGCAGCGAGAGAAAGCCTGTGCTTAGCAATGAAGACCCAGCACAGCCATAAATAAACCAATCTTTAAAAAGAAAGAAAGAAACTCCTGGTGGCTCAGACGGTTAAGAATCTGCCTGCAATGCAGGAGAACTGGGTTTGATCCCTGGGTCGGGAAGGTCCCCTGGAGAAGGGGATGGCAACCCACTCCAGTATTTCTTGCCTGGGAGATCCCATGGACAGAGGAGCCTGGTAGGCTACAGTCCATGGGGTTGCAACGAGTTGGACGTGACTGAGTGACTAACACTCTCCCCTTCTATCCAGGAGGCTCTGGGGCAGGTAAGTATCCTGAGATGCATGCCTTGAGCCAGTGTCCCTGCCTCTCCCTTCCTGGCCTCCAGGAAGCCTGGTTCAGAACGACGGCCTGGCCGATGCCAAACCTCAAGTTTCTGTCGCTGAGGGGAAAAAAACTCTTTTGGCTTCCAAGTTGCTTTCATCAGCCTCAGGCCTCTACTGTGATCCTGGCCCAGGGAGGGAGATGGCCTCATTCAACCCTGCCCAGCCTCCCAGGGGGCCCTGGCTGCAAGCAGATGGTGGGTGTGGACCGGACGATGAGGCCAGCCCCCCACCCACCCTCCCTGTACCCCCTCATTAGCGCTGGAGGCCTCCGTGGTGCTCTGGGGCCAGAGAGCCACAGGGAGGCGGATGAGGGCTTGGGGAAGTGGGGGGTGGGTGTGACAGTGTGTGTGAGGGGGTTTTATCTCTGTGCTTCGGGCTACCCTTCCAGGAGGGCTGGCCTCCTGCTTCCTCCCTCTGTTGCCTCCCCTCGAGCCGCCCAGGATGGAGGCACTCAGACTGAGCTCGCTGAGGGCCAGGGAAACTGGAAACGACCACCCGAAGCTTTGGTGACAGCATCAGCACCTGGCCCGTCCTGTCTCCGAGGCCTCCCCAGGGTTGAGTCAAGGGGGCGGGATTGTGGACACTGCCCTAAATCAGAGGCTGAAGTGGCAAGGCAGCCCCCTGTCCGGTTTTGTTTCCTCAGCTGTCTAATGTGAAGGTACGCCAGGGGATCGCGAACGTTCCTTAGCACTGACCGGCCTTGGGCCCGAGACAGCGGTTCTCACTGCAGTTTATGATATTCCCAGAGAGGTTTTAAACGTCCTGTCACCAGGCTACACCCTGAGCAGCTGCAGCTCCATCTCAGGAGGTGTACCAGTGCGTCGGGGCTTTTCAAAGCTCCCAGAGAAGGGACTTCCCTGGTGGTCCAGTGGTTAGGGCTCCATGCTTCCACTGCAGGGGGCATTGGTTCGATCCCTGGTCAGGGAACTAAGATCCCACAAGCCACGTGGTGCGACCAAAACCAAAAATAAATGCTCCCTGTGGGTTCTGCTGTGAGACCCGGTTTGAGAACAGGCTGTCTCTGGGCCTTTGCTCAGTGAGCCAGCCTGTGATCAAGGCGTGGAGATCGAGGAGGCCTTTCTAAAAGCAAGCACAGGGAGGCTGGACCTTTCCTTCTTGCTTCTCTGGCTGTGTTTGTAATACCGGGTTAGAGGAGGCGAGAGGGGAGTGGGACTGTGCTGTGTGAGTGCGCAGGCATGCTTGCGCTCACATACACACGCACACACACACCCCCTCAGAATGGGCCCTGATTACATCTTCCCGAATAAGTGGTTATCACGCCGGTTATTCATGTAACCATGCATTATTGATCGGCCTTCGCCTCGGTGCACACCAGATGGGGTAGGAGGGGGTGCGGATGGGGCTGGGGTGGGCGAGGGTGGTGGGGGTGGGGGATGAGGGGGGAAGGCTTGGGGGCAGCAGACTGAATAGAAATCAACAGTCCTTCTTGGCAGCTGTGGCTCCTGATGGGAGGGGACCTCTCGTTACCTCCCCATTCAGACCCGGCCTGGAGCTGGGGGGCCAGGCGGGGAGAAAGTCTCGAGCAGCCGGAGCCTGGAGATGCATTATTCATCCACCCCCCTCCTCCCAGGATTGGTTATTATCCTGAACCACTGTAGAGCTTGGTCTCCTAATTTTTAATCACAGGGAAGGTGGAAGCTTTAGCCTTTTGTGATTAATCCGGAGATAAAAATAGTTGACTGTTGTGGTGTTGAGCTTGTTGTCAGTCAGGGAAAACTCATTAACTGTTGGGTGACTGAGGCCTGGGAGGACCTGATGGAACCCAGGCCGAGCTGGTGCCCGGAGCTGGAAGTCAGCCCTGGGGGTCACTCCCTGCCTGGGATGGCGGCTGGCTCCCGGGTGCTGCTTACAGAACGGACACGTCATATGAATTCCGCAGTCCTGGGCTGGCTCTCTGCCATTTATTCACCTGTCTTCCAGGATTCTGGCAGGTGGCTGGGGGCCTTTCTCCTTCCTTTGCCCCTCTCTGGCCACCCGCCCTGTAGATGGTACCGCTTGCATCTCCCTGTGTGGGAGGGGGCCCCAGAGGACTTTCTCCCAGCTCTGCTGCCCAGGACGAGGGGGGCTCGAGCAGAGAGGCCAGAGATCACGCACATGGTTGGTCGTTCAGTCGTGTCCGACTCTGTGTGACCCCATGGAGTGTAGCCCACCAGCCTCCTCTGTCCATGGGATTCTCCAGGTAAGAATACTGGAATGGGTTTTCATGTCCTCCTCCAGGGGATCTTCCTGACCCAGGGATCGAACCCATGTCTCTTGCATCTCCTGCATTGCTGGCTGTTTCTTCACCACTAGCGACACCTGTCCTGCTCACTAGACACTGGATTTAAAGATATTGTGTTGACTTAGGTTTTTCTATAGGATCATATGAGAAACTCAAACACACTTTTTGACCAACGCGTAGACCCCAGCATGAATGTGTTTCATAGCAGGTTCCTTTGCACGGGCAGTTCTTTAACTTGAGATGCTGGAGTTGCTTCTCCTGGATCAGTCTTACTCAGTCTTGCAGATTTAGCTAAGGGGTTACTGAGTCCATAGAGAAGATCCCTTGGAGGAGGGCATGGCAAACCCATCCCAGAATTCTTGCCTGGAGAATCCCACGGACAGAGGAGCCTGGTGGGCTACAGTCCATGGGGTCGCAGAGTCAGACATGAATGAGTACAATGCATGGAGGGCCCAGTCCATGAGCTCTTTCTGCATTTCCTGGTTGGACCAAGTGACTGTTGTCTATGATCCTATAGCATCCTGGATATCATTCTCTCTCAGTATCCCACCTCTTCTATGGAAACGGTCCGGATGTGTTTGTCTCTCCCTAGACGGCAGCCTCCTTCATCCTGGTCCTCATCACCTGGGAGAGCACCTGCTGATCCAGGGTGGTTTCACACACGTTTGCTGAGCAGAACCTGGCTCGAGTCCACCCCTTTAAAGCGGTGCAATGTGTGCACAGAGTTATATAATTTGACAACCTTCACCTTCTTATCTGGAAAGTGAGGCAATAAAGATACCTGTGGGTTGTTGTTGGATTACTTTTATGATATGAAGAATGAAGGGGGAGCTTGATAAGGGCTAGATAAATATTGAGGATCAGGTCCAATTTTTGAGAACAATATTTAGTTTTGTTTCTGCAAATGACACCGGGCCAAGGGCCCTCTTGTTTTATTCTCAAAATAAAACCAAGTATCCTTCGAAACTGGAGAAGGAAATGGCAACCCACTTCCAGTATTCTTGCCTGGGAAATCCCACGGACAAAGGAGCCTGGCGGGCTACAGTTCATGAGGTCACAAAGAGTCGGACATGAGTGAACACACACACACACATCCTTCTAAACAGCTGCTAT